ATATTTGTCCTTCAAAGACAAGATCACGAGTCTGCGGCGTAAGCGCTGAAGATTTCCAAGAAAGCAAGGAAATTATCCAAGCCAACATTCGAATTCCACTTCATTCCTCTGATGTACACGCACAAGAAAAGCTAAGACTTCATTGAAGCGCACCTAGGGCGTCATGGACCGGACTGACGTTACGACGGCCGTGACGTCACGTGCCCCAGGGTAGACAGCAAAAACGTTAGCAGACCTTGTGTGCAGATCAGCCAGATTGTCCGGTACGTTTATATGTCATTATTTATTGGCTCAGCTGCACAATGGACAGCCAGGGTTGCCCAACTAGTTCCAAAACTATTTTAAAGGGTTAACCCTGGGGACAAGGAAAATAACCTACATATATGTACATGTAAGATGAAAATAGGGCATTAAAATCAGAATCATCAACTCCTTACATCTTTAGAATTTATTGTGTATAAAGACTTTAGCTAAGGTGCACTTAAAAAGAGTCATATTTACGTTAGTCATTAATATGTCATTACTAGTAGAGAATCTTTTATATTGATCTTGTTATTCCCTAATAAGTAATCATATAATGTAGATTCGTTATCATATAATGTAGATTCTTATATGTAGATACTTAACAATTGATGTAACTTTTTCCTCATATCGCATACTTAGAATGACTTTACCCTTATGACTGACATTTTCCGTCTTTCAATATTTGCAGCTGTCGGGCGTGGATCGTCACTGACCCGGAGGAGACCGTCTCAACAAGAAAATGTGAGTAGCAACAGCAAACGTGTACAAAACGAAAGTGAACTACCTCTGTTCAATATGTCTTGTAGTTTTCTATTTTTTTGTATAATTTTGTTTGCATATCTTTCAGGAGGTTCAACTAACGTTGGTGGGAATTTTTCTGTTATAAGTCCCTTTTAAAGTGTATACTCATATCTACTGGTATGTCAAATGTTAGCTAACCATATTTAATGTTAGCTTTTTCATCTTCCTCTGAAAACAAATGAGCTAACCCCGTGTTCTCTGGCTGCCATATGGCACAACGTTTAAAATCTATCGTCTTTGTACTTCCAATCCTGTCATTTCTATATGGTTCTTTGACTTTGACCATGTCTGAGCACGATCATAAATACATAAAAAGATTCGTGCAGGTCTGCCTTGGGGACCCCCATTTCAGCACCAAGGACACCCGGTGTTGTATCAAGAACCATGCCTGATCCTAACCCGTGCCTTGAGCATAAATTCAACAAGCACGGTTTTGGATACAATACCGATATTCCCCAGGTAAACGCCAAAGTAGCAGACTTCAAAACTCAAAACCAAGAGTGCAAGCAGCAACCGGAAGTGACGCACACCCTACGCAAGAGGCTCTACTTCTTCCCTCGGGCTGTGGTTGACAGAATCCTTAGCTTCAACTTTTTCTCAGTGTAACAAAGACCTTTTTTAATCTATAACAGTTGCTCAAAATCAACACGTATTGAGTCTTCACAAGGTTTCCAGGCAAACGTAATCCAGTTAAGTAGAACAATGTTGTCAGGACATTTTCACAGTGTAACCAAGGACCTTGTTGAAGCTCCTTGCTGTAATAATGACCTTCATTGTTCAATCTATAACAGATGCTCTAAATCAACAAATATTATATCTACAAAGGATTTCCGTGCAAAGATGATCCCGTAAGCTACAGAATGTTGCCAGGACATTTCCCAAACTGAATTATGTATGTGTCAGGCGTGTCTGTTCTGGTAGTTTTAACTGGTCAGCCATAGTTACATGTATGTCAGAGGAGATGGACACAGCACTACATCTACAGCTCCCTATGGGAGAAGCTTTATAAAACGTTTGTAGCATGTTGCTACATTTTTGTAGAATATTGCTACATTTTTACTCACCCTATGGGAGCATCTTGTTAAAAGATTTCGCCACATTTTTGTAGCATGTTGCTACATTTTTCCTCAACCCTATATGGGAGCAGATTTTGTAGCATGTTGTTACATTTTTTTAGCACCGTTTCGACGCAGTAAATGCAAACGACAGAGGAATCACATGACCCGGCAATTCGCTTCCTTACTTACTTGCACTTGTTGAGGTCTCCTCGAGTCAGTCGTTCGAGTGGCCTGCGCACAGAACTCGTCTCTTCCTCAACAGCCCCCTCCACTTCTTCCTATCTCCTGCTAATTCCTTCAGCTCTTCTAGACTGGTGCTAGGCCTCCCAGTAATTAGCGTAGCATCTTCCAGGACACAGTTACTCGTAATCCATGATTTCCTAGGCCTTCCCCTTAAGCGTCGCCCATAGTTCGGTTTCCAGTCCAGTAAATACCTGGGCAGCCGCTCTTCAGGCATTCTTGCAATGTGTCCTAACCACCTTAGCCTGTTGAGAGCTACAGTTGTAGCTATGTCCGCTAACTGTGCTTGCAGCAGTACATCACTGTTCCGTACCCGGTGATACCATCTGATGCGGAGGATACGGCGCAGACATCGTTGATGAAACGTTTCAAGTCTCGCTATCTGTACCTGGGTAGTAGTCCAAGTTTCACTACCGTAGGTAAGTATGGTCACAACAGCAGCATTGTATATCGCTTCCTAGTTCACTGAAATCTAAACAATGAAAAAGTGGTCCACCTCAAAGGGTAGCAGCACTAAAGGTTGTTTTCAGATTGATAATTGTAGCTGTTTGGACTTATTATGGTGCACGGCGGACCGCCAGTTCTATTAAAGGATTGAATGACAGCAAGAAAAACCCCAAGATTCAAACCCAAATGTGCTGTTCTTGTTAAGACTTGAGACTAGTAGTATTGCACTGCATGCAATAATTGCTGCGGCCGCAAGTCAGGTCTTTGGCGCTGCTGATCGTTTACTAGCAAACACACATTGCGTCGCCATGACACAAACGTTTCCGTGTTTGGGGGGGTGGGGGTGTACGAAGATATATTGAGCAGATATCAGATATAATAGACGACACTGTGTCTGTTAAACCATGCTAGTTTTTCAAAGAACTCCAACAGCGAGGGACCCAGATGAAACCATGGCAAGAAACCCGGTGTTTAAGGAAGGGGGTAAAATTGCCCTGGGTAACAAACACAAACAGTGGTAAAATGCACAGAAGTGATCTCTTCTGATGTGTCAATGAAGGTTTGATATCCAGGTAATGAGGTACACAATAAAATAGTTACTCAAGCAACTGGACATATTTTGAAAACTATCAGACGTTTCAAGCAGCATCCACTACTTTTCCTCAGTGACTGTCTCTCTTCGGAGGCCAATGAAAAGTCCCCCAACCGAAGCGTCGCTGATTTCTAGAACTTTCCACTACAGCCAGAACTTATCAGATGCACGTACTGGGGTTGACTTCTGTATGACGTCAGACATGCCCTGCCGGACGTTGACCGGGCAGGTAACTTTGTATGAACCTCCTGCCTTATTTGGTCATGATGTAGACTTCACCTGCTAGGTCAGAGAAGTTCAGCTAAATTTTCACTGGACAAAAACTTTGAGTACTAGTAACCATAAAGGGGGGGGGGGTGTCAACAGTTCAAATGTTGTTTAGGGGCGATCATGACGATAGTGTTTGTTGACAGACCGTTTGATCGACTGGTGATCAGCGGAATATGTATGTGTCAAGGAAAGAAAAATCGTACAAATCTTGTCATTCCACTTACAAGTATACAGACTTTCAAAAAGTAATGAAAGAGTATAATTTCCATCCGAAAACCATTACAAGTTGAAGGTCTCCAACATCGGGCTTCAACTCTGCCCAGACTGCCGGCAGTCTTGTGATGTTTGCCGTTTGAAGTCCACAAGTTATTTTTGCCGCTCGGTGCAAACAAGCCGGCCCACCTGGAGGTTTTATCGGCATTTTGATTGACAGGAATTATAACGACAGTTTTGCTCACCATGGTAACGGCGCCGTGTCTAATCAATAAGTTCTGCCCCACCCCACGGCGTCTTGTACTAGTACTAGTAAAATGCATTTGCTCTAGTTTCAGCAAGATAGTCAGAACCTTTACAAACCGCCAGAGGTCCCCACTGACAAGCTGAGCAGGCTATGATCGACCCGTTATTACCATGATTAGGTGGGAAACGTTGTTCAAACCACAGTACTCATACTCTTACTGCGGGTTCACTCTGCTAGCCAATTATTCACCCCACGTTTTTCTTCAGTGGCAAGGGGAGTCTATTGGCCAGCCCCTCACCAGTTGGCCCTTGATTACGAGTACTGGTTAGCGATCAGTGCTTTAAGTTTGCGTTGAGAATAAAGAAACAAACTTTACACAAGCTCGCATGGAACAACAGCAAAAAAACAACACAGCTCGGGCGCAGGAAAAAACATCGCGCGCGTCACGCAAAAGTACCAGACATACAGCATTACTTAAAGCTACTAGTGTTACTTGATGTTCTTCGCACTTTGTTTGGACGGCACACTGAAGGTTACATGAGAACCTCGTTAACAAAAAGACACGCCATTCTCTGTATGTGGACTGGCTGCACATGAGAAGGGGGGTAAAATAGACCTGCCATGCTCTGTGGGCGTCTGTCAACACATGAGACGTCAAAGTAGGCGTGGTTAAGCGCCCCTTCTTATTGTGGTGTCGTTATGTCGTTATGACAATGACCTGACCTTTCCACAGGTACGTGAGACGGTGTAACATTACAGGTTAGTGCAGGTGGGGGCCTCAGTAGCAGGGTGTAGTCCCAGGGTCCGGCCACGGTTTTCCCCGGTAAAGCACAGGAGAAGTCTCGTCTCGTTAGCTTTTAGCTATAGTACTAGTAGATCGTGAGGTCTTCTTTTAGAGGAAAGAACTAACCGACTGAGTCCTTTGAAAGAACATCAAGACTTGAGGTCGTCGCCAACTCGGGGCCGCAGTTGGGGGTAGAGCGGCGGGGCCCGGGGCCCTTTCCCGGGCGCGACTTCGCTAGCCGGCCGCCCGGCCCCGCCTAGCCTTTCCAAACGGTCCGCGGCAGAGAAACTGACGCTCTAAGTCTAACAGGAAGGTTTTCTGGAGGACGCGACGCGCTCATATCGCGCCCTGCGGACGGAAGAAGGAACGGGCAAGATCCAAAGGAAGAAACTTTAGACTTGAGCAAGGTCGTCGCCAACTTTGTTTTTCTACCTGCTGACATAAACGTGAGTTCAAACATTTTCCTTCATGGGTATACTTTTTTTTAACTAACACCTCCAAAAATCACCATTTTGCGGGTGCTGAACAGATTTTAATCATGCATGATGTATTTCTGGGCGCGCCTAGTTTTCTTGCATCCATTCACACTCACACTGATAGCATGACGCGAGACGGACTCAGTAATGTATTATATTTGGCGTACCAGCGGTGAACTACCCACCATGGGCCCCACTTTGAACCGTTCGTAACACCTGCAGTGTTTTGTTTACGGACACCAAATGTCTTAATTTCTGGCACATTTTGCATTAAAATGTGTGTTTTCCGGGTGGGTTTGACATAACTTGAATACAACATGGTGTACTTCCGAATAGACGTGACTATACATTTGCCAAGATGGTGTTTTCCGTAGCGTTTAGTGTGTTTGTTTTGGGGGGGGGGGGGGTGTGCGGGGTGGGGGGGGGTAGTGTGACTTAGCACGATAACTCAAGAAGCGTTGAATGGATTGTCATGAAGCTTGGTAGGTGGGTAGGTCTGGAACTGCAGGGCGATTATTGAAGGAGGATAACTCAAGAACCGTTTGACGGATTGTCGTTGATTTTTGGTATGTAGACGGCGGAAGTGATGCTTTAAATGACTTAAAATAATAATCATGCGAATCAGGATCTAATTTGCATAATGAATGACGAAATTCTATAAATCTGCTTCGTTCCATAATAAAACTATTAAACAATTGTGACATGTGTGGATTAAACGAGGTCATTAGCAGATATTGATTATGTAAATTAGCACATAATTTGCATAATTAGTGGGAAGTTGCTAAGATGTCATAATGGTAACTGCTGGGAATTCAATACTTGCCGCATGTGGAACTTACGTGAAGGTGAACATCATTTATAATGATTTATTCACGCCATGTCCTTATTTGCATATTTTATAAAGACATCGTGGGACTCTTGTTATGTTTACCGAAGGAAAACATATTGTTTTTGCTCAGTTTCTTCTTCTTCTTCTCTCCAAACACTAACCCTTGACCTGGCCAATGACATGATGTGTTGATGTCTGTCACCATGGTAACTGGTGTTGGGTTACATAATGTTGCAATTTCATGGTCTGCTCTGCTCCTGTCACCATATAGCAGTAGTACATTTATGTGAATGTGTTTGAGTAAGAATTAACAGAGCAGTCCCAAATATGGTCTTACAGGCAGCAGCAGGCGTGGCCATGTTTGAAGATGTGATTGTTCACTTTTAATTAAAATTACTTTATCTGCAGTGCTAAAGGATACCCACGCATGGTAGGTGCATACTTATAATAGGAACAGGTACTTTGTTTGTTTATTGTATAAGTATTGGCCAGGAAAAATGAGGGTTTTGGGTTGTACATCGGTGGAAACATGTCACATAACCTACATGTTCATATGCCTTGCTATTTTTTTTAACCAGCATTTAAAATCGTTTAACCAAATCAGCTACAGACACATGTAGTTGTGTAGCAGGTAAGGTCATTTGGTAGGTAAGGTCATTGACCTTTTGTTTACATTGTTCCCTATGATTACGGGGGTCCCCTATAAAAGTTTGGCATAATGCCTGGTGCAGTTTTCACGTAAAAGTTCTGCAATCATGCACGTACATGGGCAGAGATGTAACTATATAATTCTTCCAACTAGGGGTCACTAGAATAATTCATTCTTAAAAAGGGGAGGCATTTTCTTTAGAATTAAGTATTGGGCAGGACTGTCTGTGGGGAGGGGTACAGGTCCGTTTTTGGTAAGGGGGATGAGGTGAAGCCATTTGCTGCATTTTTCCCCAAGCAAATGTCTGCCTTTCTAGTATTATTATATATAATGATGGTTTTTCATAATGGAAATTATGTACAGTCAAAACTGTAATACAAAATTTCGTTGAAAGGATAAAAAATCCTTACTACACACAGCTCACCCGTGGGCGTCAGGATGGGGGTTGACCTGTGCACCTACAGGGCCCGGATAGGCTGCTTCAGGAACCCGGCGTTTCACCCCCTGTGCTGCTGGCAGTCATGTTTGCTGGTGTGGATGGTCATCTCACAACTCATGCTGAAGCTTGCAGGGGATGTGGAGGAGAATCCTGGGCCCAGGCAACAGTAAGCATCAGAAATAATACTTTGTCATATTAGACTACTTTGCAACATGTGGATGTATTTAATGTAAATCTTGAAATGTTCTCTGTGTTTTTATTTTTGCAGTTTTTGCGTTGACCACTTTAATCGCAAAATTATGTCATCGACATTGACATTGACATTATGAATGTAGTACAAAGGTTTCACGTTTTTAGTCTGGTAACAGGCTAGGTTGGGCTTGCCGAGGTTTAATTTTAAATTAATTAGCCTTTTATTAAATATCAAACTGGCAGGGGTTATTAACAGACTGTGCTTCGCTGTTCATTACTTTCAGCAAGGTCATGTAACATCTGTATTGTGTTTTATAATATAATATAATATAATATAATATAATATAATATATATATATATATATATATATATGTACATGTATATAAATTATATAACTCAAGAACCGATTGGATCGTTGTGATTTTTGGTAAGTACAGGTAGCTCAAATGATGCTTTTGGGATGATTAGATGACAAGTATATAAATCAGGATCACATTTATAATTAATGGGGAGATTCTATAAATGTGCTGTGTTCTATGATAAGACTGTTAAGAGGGACAGAGACAGTATTCAATATGTAATCGAAGAAGCATAATTAATGACAAAATGCATAGTGGTATCTACCGGAAATTTCATACTTGCCACATTTGGAAGTTAAGTAAAGGTGAAAATCATTAAAATTAGATTATTCAAATCAAAACCTCATTTGCATAATACATAATGAAGTTCTAGAATAGCCTTTGTTAAGATAACACTGTCACTGGTTAGTAAATACGATCAACTGACGTTATTCATTCAAATGAGGATCGTTAAAACTTTCAGGTTTAAAAACATGGTGAAGCCAAAAGAATGGGACATGATCGGGAAAAGAACTCTCTTGACACTGGACTTGTCTTGTGAATATGGTAGTCATATAAAACCTCTGGCTCAACTACCCGAGGAAGTTTTTGAACTAAAGGAATTGGAGGCCTTAGACCTGACAGACAACGAGAACATCGATATCTCCAATCAGCTGACCAAACTGACCAATCTAAAAGTGTTGTGTTTAGATAACTGTGACCTTAAAACAGTTCCCGCTGCCGTGATGAAACTTCCGCAGTTAGAAATGCTGGTCCTCAGTTACAACAAGAACATCACCCTGCCGGATGAGATGTCGGGTCTCATCAACCTCACTGTCCTGGACTTACAGAACTGTAACCTTAAAACAGTTCCCGCTGCCGTGATGAAACTTCCGCAGTTAGAAATGCTGGTCCTCAGTAACAACGAGAACATCACCCTGCCGGATGAGATGTCGGGTCTCATCAACCTCACTGTCCTGCACTTACAGATGTGTAACCTGGACACACTACCGCCTGTAGTGCTGAAACTAACAAACCTACAGGTGCTGGATCTAAGTGCGGGCTGGGATTCAATATTAAAAATCTCCGTACCAGATGAGTTGTCTAAACTGAACAAGTTGAAAGTATTGACACTACGTTACCGTAACCTGGACACAGTTCCCCCGGCAGTACTGACACTCCCCCAGCTGGAGGAACTGGACCTCAGCGGGAACAGCGGGATCCACCTGCCGGATGGGCTGGCCGGGCTCACCAACCTCCGGGTACTGAAACTAGCAGGAGCAGGCATGGAGACAGTTCCTCCGGTAGTGTGGAGACTGACACAGTTAGAATGGCTGGACCTGAGCCATAACCAACTACAGACGTTACCCGCGGAAATCGGACAGCTCACTAATGTCAAACACTTGGATCTGTCCGGGTGCAAGCTGCGCACACTCCCACCTGAAGTGGGGAGGCAGACACAGTTAGAACGGCTGGGCCTGAGTCATAACCAACTAGAGACGTTACCCGCGGAAATCGGACAGCTCACTAATGTCAAACACTTGGATCTGTCCGGGTGCAAGCTGCGCACACTCCCACCTGAAGTGGGGAGGCAGACACAGTTAGAATGGCTGAATCTGAGCAGTAACCAACTACAGACGTTACCCGCGGAAATCGGGCAGCTCACTAATGTCAAACACTTGGATCTGTCCGGGTGCGAGCTGCGCACACTCCCACCTGAAGTGTGGAGACTGACACAGTTAGAATGGCTGGGCCTGAGCCATAACCAACTACAGACGTTACCCGCGGAAATAGGGCAGCTCACTAATGTCAAACGCTTGGATCTGTCCGGGTGCTGGCTGCGCACACTCCCACCTGAAGTGTGGAGACTGACACAGTTAGAATGGCTGGGCCTGAGCCATAACCAACTACAGACGTTACCCGCGGAAATCGGACAGCTCACTAATGTCAAACACTTGGATCTGTCCGGGTGCGAGCTCCGCATACTCCCACCTGAAGTGGGGAGACTGACACAGTTAGAATGGCTGAACCTGAGCGGTTACCAGCTACAGACGTTACCCGCGGAAATCGGACAGCTCACTAATGTCAAACACTTGGATCTGTACGGGTGCGAGCTGCGCATACTCCCACCTGAAGTGGGGAGACTGACACAGTTAGAATGGCTGGACCTGCGCCATAACCAGCTAGAGACGTTACCCGCGGAGGTTGCACAGCTCAGTAGCTTAGACACACTTAGCGTCCGTGGAAATCCACTAATAAAACCACCAGCTGAAGTTTGCGATCAGGGGATCGCTGCCATCAGACAGTACTTTGAGGAACTTGAACGATCTAAAGAAACGATAAGCGCTCATTTGAAAGTTGTCATCTTGGGAGAGACAATGGCGGGAAAAACAAGCCTGATACAGACGCTAGAAAGTGGCGAGTCCACCCTGACAAATGTAGATGACCGCACACACTGTGTAGAGATAACTCAGTGGGCACCAGATAACAACATCACGTTTGAAGTGTACGACTTTGGCGGCCATGACGTGTACCATCTCACTCATCAGTTCTTCCTGACTCCAGATGCCTTTCATCTGTTATTAGTGAACCTGCAGGAATACAGCTGCAATGAAGAGAGTTACAAAAAGCATGTGGGGTTCTGGTTGGACACACTGAATGCCCGCGTGCCGGGGGCGGTGGTTTCTATAGTGGGGAGCAAGAAGGACCTTTGCCAGGCTGGCGAAGTAAAAGCAAAGACCAAGGACATTCAAGCAAGGATCAGACTGCAAAGAGATACGTGGGAGAAAGAACAAAGACAAATAGGTGAAATGACTAACATTCAGATTCAAAGTCGTTTGAAATCAATGGAAGACATAGGCCATCAACAGTTACGCACGTTGAAGCCAGGACTGCGAATTGTTGGTGATGCGCTTGATTTTTGTGTGTCCGTTAAGCCCAAGTCTCGATTCCACCTATCAAGGTCATCTAGTTCTTGGGAAAGATTCAGAGACTTCTTGTTAGAAACAGCAATTGATAAGGAATTGTTTCCGACATTGAGAAGGATCCTGCCAAGTACGTGGGTAGAGTTCGAACAACTAATTCAACACCAAGCTTCCACTGAAACCATGGAGGTAGAAAAAGTCCTCCATGCTGAAACACCCGAACAGGCCGACGAAACAGGCTCTAGTGTTGTAACGTCTCCGCGGGAGGATCATGTGACTCAGGATGTTCAAATGTCCACACGGCATTGGCTGACAGTGACTGACTGTGAACAACTTGGTCAACTTGCTGGGCTCTCAGAAGAAAGACTGGAGCCAGTCCTGTCTTACCTACAGCAGGTGGGAACCATCCTCAGGTACAAGGACATACCAAAACTCAAGGACTTTGTCTTCCATGATCCTCGCGCCCTAATTGAACTTTTCAAAGACCTGTTTCATCAAGATACAAGCGCCCTTTTCGCAACACCCAGACTTTCTCATTTCACGTCTGCCCAGCTCAGTACATTCCAGTCAGATCTTTGCGACTGTGGACTGATCCGGAAGGAAGTGATGGCGTGTTTGTTGCCACCCAACGTCAGTCCGGACATTATCACAGCATTGATGCAACATTTCGGCCTGTGTTTTGAAGTACAAGCTAAGGACAATACAGACCCATCCAAACATACCCGCCAGTACAAAATCCCTTGGTATTTACAAAAACAAATGCCAGAGAAGCTGATGCGCGTCTGGCCCAAAAACGTGCCAGAGGAACAAGAACAACTGCAGCTGATGTGCAACATCACAGGATTCTGTCCTCGGGGACTGTTTCAGAGGTTCAGTGTTGGGATCCATCCACTTTTCAAGGACAGGGTAGACTGGAAAGATGGAGTCATGGCCTACAGACAGGACTACCCCGTACTAGTCTGTTCCAAACCTGTTGCAGGCGACACTTACATCACCATGGCAACCAGAGGCAGGCTTGCCCAGGCAGATGAGATGTGGGGCGTGGTCCACCCACTGCTGGAGGTGCTGGTCCAGCTGCTGCAGGAGTGGCCACGTGTGCTGTACTCCCTCCACGTCACCTGTGCGCACTGCATCAAGGCAGGACTGGACAGGCCGTGGCAGTTCGAACTAAGGGACCGGACTACAGAGGACGGCCGTGACGTCAGGTGTCCTGAGGTCAACTTTGAAGCATCAACGTCAGCAGACCTTGTGTACAGACCAGGCAGACTCACTGGTATGTTTATATGTCATTATCAGTAGGGACTCTTTTATATTTATCTTGTTCCTCACCAAGAATCATGAAGATCATGAAGAACAATGTACACATAGCGAATCTATAACCTATTTTGTTTAAAACCGTTTCTAAGCTCTTGATAGAATAATCTCCTGAATTGCTTCAGAGTGAAATACTTAAGAAGCAAAATGACAATGTCGGATAAAATGGTTAATCTCTTCATTCAGGACACGGCGGTGTTCCGCTCGAGATACAGCTGCGGGGTCCTGCAATGCAGCAGCTGTACTCTGAGGCCTGCCGCCAGGGGGCGCAACGGGTGTACAACGTGCGCGGGCTCGTGGTTGGTCAGTTCAGATCCGGGAAGACGTGTGTCGTCAGGAGGCTGACGGGAGAGAAGGCTGTGGAGAATCAACCGATAACAGACGGCATCGAGATTATACCCAGCGTGAAGACCAAGACTTGGCGGAAAGCAAAAGGTCAGGAAAACGTTGTTATCTATCATATGTCAAGAAATTAGATATGTCTATATAGATTGTTTGGACCCTTGAGTACATGTCATGCAATAATATATAATTATTTTCAGACATTTACATACTTTTGAAAACAGTACAATAAAAGAACCCTCGGCTGATTCACACGGTATATGACGTCCTTTACTTACAGAAGAGCCTGACGAATTCAAGGAAACCATGGCAGAACGCATAGCGGAACAACAAGAACGGATCAAACTACGCACTCAGACATCGTCACGAAGCCAAGGAGGAGTCCGGCTACGGAGCAACAGGAAAGACCCTACAGGTATACAAAAACGTTCACGTGTCCATGAAAATTATAACAATCTTAAGAGAGACAGTTAGTACCATGAAAGCACAGAAAATGAGCATATAGATTTTGGTATGGTTCCATCTGTATGAATACCCTTACAAATCACTAGGAAGAGATGAAGCACCAGTGGTATCTAACTGATTTCCTCTTATCCATACAAGACGCTGGAAAAGCAGAAGAACAACAAGGGAAGCAAAAGCAACAAAAGGAGCCGATGATAAAGGAGGCACCGACGGAAGGTCGAGAGACACCAAGGCCGGAAGATGAAAGTGAGAAACGCCTTATTAAATATCTACGTCTCTCAGCCAGTTAGGAATACACACGTAGTTTGCTCTTGATGCATGGGCATAGGGGCCAAAACATGCATCTAGAAAAGTCTAGAAAAGCCAAATGTCCCTAAATGCTTATACATAACAACTATGAAAGAGGTGCTCGTGTCACGGAAATGAAAAGTAACCTACAGTGGGTATCAATGGAAGACAGATGAAAAATGTCCAGACTATGCATGATGTACAAAATGACTAATAAACTGGTGGATGTCCCAATTACTAAGTACCTAAAACCAGCCCAGAAGAGAACAAGAAATAGCCATGCCTTCAAGTACCAGAGTTATCAACCAAGGATTGAGACGTTCAAGAATTCATTCTTTCCTAGAACTATTGCAGAGTGGAACTCTCTGTCACCAAGTGCAGTAGGGGCATTGTCAATAGATAGCTTTAAACAATGTCTAGAGTTAGATGTTCAAGGGCTAGGTGTAAAAAGTCGATCGGTGTAATGTAGCCAGCTGCCGCCGCGCCGCGTGCCTGCGAAGCTGGTGTGTTACGCCGAAATACGGTTATACCGGCTATACAGATACAGATATATAATTTTTAAGTTGTGTATGCCAGATTTCTAGGCAAAGCAGTGTTTAACTAGAGAAGTAACACTTGCAAAGCAAATGCATAAGCCCAAAATATGAATTCACAGAAAATGGAAAAAAACTAAAATAATTTAATTTAAAAATCCTGTATGAAAAACAAATATATTTGCCACTCTACCCCCATACGAACTTTCCGGTCATTTGGCCCCAAAAAGAAGTTGGATCCATTTAACGAAGTGGCAGGAGAAGGAGGAGAAGAAACACGAGGAAAAACATTCCCTACATGACATGTAAAGTTTATGTTCCAGGGAAAGAAGGTATAAGCAGGACTACGTCACCACAAACACCAGCTCAACAACAACTCCAGCATCCAACACAGGGCATTCCGGATGATGAGCGACTTCAGGGTGACGTGAGGGTTCATCAGAAAACACAGGACATTCCGGATGATGTCATAATAAAAGCCAAAGAGCGACTCCAAAGTGGCGTGACCGAGGAGCAGCTTGGAACAGCCGAAAACCCGCGTATCTCCTTCTGGGACTTTGGCGGCCAGGCCACGTACTACGGCTCGCACCAGTGCTTCTTCACGTACCGCGGGATCTACATCCTGGTCATGTCACTGCTGCAGAGGCTGTCCGACCCTGTTCCTGATTTGGACTACAAGGCGTCAGCGGACAACCTCGTAACTGGAAGAGGCACGTACCACTTCTTTAACTGTAAACCTACTTGGTGACAAAGCAATCGGTTTTAATTGGAAACATCTATGGGAGGACGGTCAACTTGAAAGCTTGAACATGGGAATTGAAATTGAAGTTACTTGTAAATCACATAAAGACGTTTTGCAAAGCTGAAATGATGAGGAAAAAATAAGCTATTTCGTGCAAGAGGGGGGCAACTTATTAAGATGTCAATACATCTGTTTTGCCCTCCATTCCACTTGTACATTTATACTTGTGGTAAATTCGAATAAATAAATAAAATAATTACTGCATACTTGTGTAGACTACTTGGACCACTGGCTGAACTCTGTCCACACCCACGGCCTGGTGCCCGGGCAGGAAGAGAAAGAAGAGCCGCGTGTCATCTTGGTTCTCACACACAAGGACAAAGTTAGCGAGGTATGTAGAATATTTACATATTTCTTCAAAGGTCTTAGAAAAAGAAGTTGAACTTGTGTTTGCCCTGTAGTTCATATCAATCACTAAAAGGATTTGCCAATATTGCTTTAAGGATTTGTGCTATTCATTTCAGTTGTACATAGAGAAGTACAAGAAAGACATACGTGATCACATCAGTGGTATGGCTGCCGGTACACACGTCTTACCAAAGATATTTGTCATGGACAACTTCAGCGAGGACAACAGCGACATTGAAGATCTCCGAGAATACCTCCGTGAGATGGCGAAGGATTTGTCGTTCATGGGCCAGGAGGTTCCGATAACCTGGCTTCATCTGAAGTCCAAATTGATGGACAAGAGGAGACAGGGTGACCCATTCTGCCGCTTTCAAGATGTCGTCGATCTGGCCCGGAGTGATGACATTGGCATCACGGACGTCAGCCATGTTGCCGACATCCTGACCTTCCTGCATGACCTTGGCGACATCATCTTCATTAACGAACCCGTTCTTCGTGACCACGTGACCCTTCGACCCCAGGTGATGATTGACGTCTTCAAGACCATTATCACCGTCCCGGAGTACCAACAGGACAGGAGCACGGGTGGGGAGGTTGCCGAGATGTGGAGGAGGCTGGAGACCAAAGGTATTCTCAGTGACAGGCTGGTGACAATAATATGGACTAAAGCAGATCAGAAGATGAAAGATAAGAAGATGAAACCCTTCTTTATCGAACACAAGGACTTCCTGAAGCGACTAATGGAAAAATACTACCTCCTCTGCAACGCCACGCCGATCGGTGGGTTTGTTGACACAGCGGACGAGCCTAAGAAAGACGAGATCTACTTCGTACCATCCCTCCTGGCCGCAGAGCCTGACTACAACACCTTGTATCCTGGGAACATGAGGAGACACCAGCACCCTCTCTATGTCGTATTCGACAACATGTTCCTCCCAAGTGGCATGTTCTATCGTCTACAAGCCATCTGTGTGCACAGGTTCGGTCTTAAAGAGTCCCACGTATTCGCCGGCTGCGGTCGTTTTCCTACCAACGATGAAAAGCAACAGTTCGTGGTAACCAAAGTAAAGCATTACCTGAAGGTGGAGCTTCTGTCGGCTGGAGTTGAGGAGCAGCCGGTGTTCACACAGGGTCTACCCGTCAGAAAGTTCCTCAGCAGTTGTCTCTTCGAGATCAAGGAGAAGTGGATCCCGTATATCCAGTATGACTGGTGCTTCGGGGAGGAGTCAGATGAAAAAAACGGAACACCAGCATTCTACCAGCTCCCTGTCACCGAACAAGAAGCGGCAACAGGATCCAGTTGGTGAGACCAGTTATACTTCTAGCTGGTAGATACCTTTTGTTCTCGGGAAGAGTTGAGGCCCCTAACAGCATAATCGGAAAATGCAGGGGCGTTTGTTTAAAAGAGGATAACTCAACAGGTCGTCGTGACTTTTGTATATATATAATAAGTAATAAAAGCTTGACATGAAGCGACAGTAATATAAACCAAGATCTACCATAATTACTGTAATGAAACATCGACAGATATTAATTATGTAAATAAAAACGTAAGCTGCATGAGAAATGCTATAAGTCCACAGTGGTAACTACCAAGAATTTTATACTTATCATTTATGGAATTTAGAAGTTAAGTGAAGGTGAACATTATCAAACATGAATCTGCATAATTGAGGGAATGCTAGAATAGCCTTTGTTGCGAATTCGTCAGTTGTAAAGGCTGTACATTTAGTTTTTCAGTGAATAACAACCTTTTATTTCATTAGCGCATAATTCTTTCTTGCACAATTGTGTAATGAACTACACAAGAGGGTGCCTGGTGTCCACTTCACTGTACTTTTCCCTAACATCATTATGTATGACTAATGACATACTGTTTTTAATCTCAGTTTTCCAGAAGATTTCATCAACGTTTGGATGGGTGGCAGTGGTGATAAGAGAACTTCACGTGCAGGTATCTCTATTTTAATTTCAGATTTTGTCTAGCCCATCTTCTTAATATAACGTTTTAAATTGTTACTAAATGAAAATATGTTGCACAATCATGCAGAAAACTCAGGTGGTTCCGGACCCGCGATGATAGAGCCCACAATGGTGCCGTTGGTAGTCCATAAGATTAGTCCTCTCCTGGATTGTTTGGAAATGTTCGGAGGGCTGAGTTTTGGGGAGTGTGAACGGATCAAGAAAGAGTCCACACCTGAAAGCAGGTTCAAAAAGTTGCTTGGTGCCGTCAACAATGCCGGAGATATGTGTCGTCGCTTGCTGGGCGCGTCTGCGGAGGTTTGCCTGCCTGAGATAGCACCTATGTTCCTCCGAGAAGAGAGAGGTACATTACTTACAAAACTTGTTTAACAGCTTGTTTACCTTACACTCCATACATATAGACTATAATATATACGCTGTGTATTCCGTATCACCCGAGGTACTGGCCGAACCGTGGGTCGGATCGCCCGACGGTCGAAGGCCGGGGGCGAGCCAATCGGCAGGAGGGCTGGGACGGAAAGTGCACATTGTATTTTATTTATGTCAAACCCACCCGCGGAAACACGCCTTTCTGTTCGAAATGTGCCAAGATTTGGTGTCCCTGAACAAAAAAAATGCAAAAAAAAATCAATTCCAACGTCCCAATCCTGTATTCGAATTTTCGAAAGTGGCGCACGCAGCTCAGGCAAAAACGCGTTCGACTTATTCTTCGGAACATTTGGAAGCCCGTGTGATAAGCAAATAGAACCCCCGGCTGTACCGCTAGTTATCACACGGACCAGTACACCTGTATCGAATGTTATCGCGGCCCAGGTATGATATTAATTATAACATTGATGTTTCACATTTATTTCTAGGGAATGAAATTGTTATACTACACATCGACGAATACAGTCACAAGCTTGTCCAGCCACTGAAAGAACAGGCATCCCAGTCGTTCAGCAGGTACGGTGTAACAGTGTCTGAAGACGCCATCGAACCAGACCAGAGCTTGAAAGAAGAACTCTTGCGCCATCTTCTTAAACGAAATGTCAGAATGGTCGTACCGATCATCACAATGATGAGTCTCCAGAAGAGGTACTGGCCCCCGCTGCTGTATGAATTGTACGTACAGAACAAGAACCTAGTCTTTCCGGTCTTCGCTTACAGTAAATACCCCAAAGGGACCAGGGAATGTTTGCTGAAGGAGTTCATATCACGCTGTGAGGACATGAAGGATATGTCATCCCCCCAGATACCAATGACCACAGAACCACTGTCCAGCACCAAAATCAGTCTTACTGCTGCACAAATCATGAGGAAGGTGCGTCGATTTTGGTAGTTTTCATCATGGTTATTGCATGTTTAGAGTCCTACAAGTCTACTTTATTCCAGACAGGATGGCTGATATAGTATTGTTTCTACAGGTGTCATCTTCTGTTGTGCCGCACACATACAAGATCACAGCTGAAGGCTGCACGGTTGAGGAGGATGGTGTCACTATCTCGTTTCCGACAGGATGCGTTGAGAAGGAAAGGCCCCTTTCCTTCGAGGTAATTAACCTTACTTTCTTGGCTCTTCAGTTCGCTTACGTACCTGGCCTTGCCAGCCTGGTGGGTCTATGTGTAGCTTAGACATGTACAGAGACAATTTTGCAGCGCATGTTTTTGCTATTTCGTGTCTATATATTAGCCAGATGCCACCCACTATTGTAAAAAAAGTGTACTCCTTTATATCCTCACTATTAATGGGCAGGGATGAAACAGTTATGTTCAACGCAAATCCAGCAAAAGTCTTTTTTTCTTTACCTTACCACATATTTTTTTGTTATCTTTCAGGTCGATATACTGCCCATTGACGACGCCTTAACAAAGGCTTTCTCAGCTGTGACCCCGATACTGACCGTGCACCAAGGCAAGGAGGAAGACTTCTTACAGCCCGTGAGCGTCACCCTGCCGTGGGCATGGAGGAAGAGTGACCATAGCTGCAGCAAAGAAAAAACCATCCTAATGCAGATAAAATCACATCCTTCTCAGTGGTCGCTGCTACAGGCAGAAGTTCATGAAACAGAGGACGCAGTCACATTCACCATGAGGCACTCCTGCAGGTAATGCACTGGGCTTCATACTTATAAAGCAACTAGTTCACACATTTAAGGGTAACTACATATTTACTAATGATATGTTTTCTTTAATATTTTTCACTGTTTTGCTCTATTTTCTAGGATGGCCGCTGCCAAAGAAAGTGGCAATGGCGGAGAAAGTTTGACCTCAATCAAGGGTAACCAAGATGAGACATCCAATCGGGAAGCAGCAGATGAAAGTAACTCAAGGGAGCCAAATGTCCCATCAGCATCCCAAACTGCAGTCACAACTGACGCATTGCAAGCATGTTGGAACGAATACACTAAAGACAAGGCGTACCTCATAGTAAACCCAAACCAGGCAACAAAATTTGATAACAAAATCCACCTTATGTGTGTTCACAAGGACGCCAACCCCAATGTTTTTTTCCGAGCTGCTAATATGCTCCCGCTCCCACCATTCCAACAAAGCATCGTCATGGGCAGGGACGATACGATTAACGCCACGTTTGACAACAGCAAAGAAGTCATTGGACACCCCGACGATGTTTCAGATGGTATCAGCTTCGTCTTTCCACCAGCTGCAAGGGGACCTCCCAAGTGCAACAGGTGGTCCGTTAAACTGATTCCGAATACTCCGCGCCCAGCTAGGAAGACGCACATGTACCAAGGAGCCATCGATTTCAGACTACTTACCATGTATCAAGAACAAATAACTGATCCCTGGCGCCGGATCCTGCCAGCACAGGTGTCCCTTGACTCTGACGAAGGTAGATCAAATGTTGGCCAATCATTTCCGGACATTTAATAGGTTTTTACCTTGCATATCACAGACCACCAATGTGCATAAACCATTCCGAACAGATGAGAGTAGACATTCTGGATTCTAGCAATAATGGCTTAGAAGGACAATGTCCTGATTCAATTCTTACACATCTTGTTTAATTTTTACAGAAAGTTCCGATCAACCTCAAAGACCCCCAGGACCACGATGCATCTGAAAACCCTTCAAAGAAGTTAAAAGGTGGAAAATATGAAGTTAAAGGGACGTTGGAAGGTTTGAGGCTTATGGTTTTGACTAGTACGCTGTTCACGATTTAGCAAACATGCGCAACAGCCTTTTTGTTCACTTTTGCATGTCTAATCTGATGTTATAATTGGGAGTATATGATTGTGTATCTATAACAAAGATACATTTTATTATATTCCTTATAATTTCAGAGGTCAGCAGGTTTTTTCATTACATCAAGGATAATACGTAGCGAAGCCAAAATCCGGATCGCACCTATGGCCATATTAGACTAGCAATTTGCATAACCCCCTCAATTGATGGATTCTGGCACATTCTGACAAGAAGAATACGGAGATCTCATACCTCCATGAAATAGTGTTTTTGTAAATGTTTTTTTTTAGTTTGTTCCTCATAATATTAGGGCTTAATACATAATTCAATTCTAACGTATCTTGTTTCATTACTACAGAATGCTCCGATCAACCCGAGGACCACAATGCATCTGGAAACCCTCCAGATGAATTGAAAGTTGGAAAAGATGATGTTGCTGGGACGTCGGCAGGTTAATTGGAGGCTAATTTGTTTTTGGCTAAGCCGTACACTCAAGATGTAGCAAACATGCAACAACCTATCCTATTAACTTAATTTGCATGGTAAATTTGATGTAATTTGGAATACATGACATTGTGCATCTAAAGTAAAGATACGTTATATTATATTCCTAATGATTTCAGTGTCAGAATGTTTTGCCAGTACATCAAGGATAATGTGACGGCTGAATGGAATGATCCATTGTAAGATTGCATATGATTGTTAATAAGGACAATGTCCTTCTTGATGCATTTTTACAGAAACTTCAGATCAACTCAAAAGATCCCAGGACCAGGATGCACCTGATCAAGAGAAGTTGGAAGATGGAAAGGGTGAAGTTTCTGCGACGTTTGCAGGTTAGTTGGTGATCAATTTGTTGCAAAGCCGTACACTCAAGATGCAGCAAACATGTGCAACAGCCTATCCTATCCTATCAACAGCATGTTTTGATGTATCGTATGCCTAACACGTGTAGCTAAAGAAAAGATACGTTTCATTACATTCCTTATAAATTCAGATGTCAGCAGGTTATCTCAACTTTGTATCATGCCTGTATCCTGTGAGTCAGCCGTTACCGGTCTCTACTGCCTGTACTAACCATTGTAATGACCCGCATCATTGCCAATAAATACAAAAGCACATCAAGGATAATGTGACGGCTGAATGGAAGGACCCATTGTTAACAGACCAGCAATTTGTATAAACCCCTCAATGGATGGATTCTCGCAATATTAGGGCTTTTTAGAATTGAATCATGTACTTCTTAAAAGAAGCAGAATGTTTCTTGTTTCATGTCTACAGAAAGTTCCTATCAACACCAGGACCACAACGTGTCTGGAAACCCTCCAGAGGAGTTAAAATGTGGAAAAGCTGCTGGAACGTTGGCAGGTTAGTTGATGGCATTTTGGCTACACCGACTACTATACTCAAAATGTAGCAAACATTTGCAACAACCTATCTTGGGAATTGTGCATGTTTTGGTGTATTTTGGAATATGTGTATCTAAATATTATATTCTTATATTACCGTATTCCTCATAGGTTCAGACTTCACCGGGTACTTCCGTTACATCAAGAATAATGTAACGGCCGAATGGAAGGACCTTGCTGACCTATTGCTGAGCTGGGACAATGTAAAAGACATTGAAAAGAGAAACAGTGATGACAGGTCTCGCTGTTGGGACGCGTTAAAAGAGTGGCAGAAAAGTAAAGGAGAAGCCGCCACCATGGCTGTCCTGATGGACGCTCTCAAAGAAGTGGATCTGATGAGTGTCGTGGATGGGCTCAAGAGCAAGTTTCCAGGTAATGTAGGCACTGTGTTTTAGCAAGACTAAATCAGTATTTATCGTCCAATCTTTAAGTAACTCAGAGGCCTTCTGTAACCCACCATGAACATCTGACAAAGCAGCTGCACATCTAAGGGATGTACATGTAAGCTTTCATATTACATATATAGTATAACTGTGGGTAGAAATTACATGTATGTGCCGTAGAATTTTCTACTTATTTTGATTGTGAAAGACACGTAGCAAAGGCTGGCCAACTAGCCGTTGGTTATTACAAAGGGTTCGCCCTTCTGACAAGCCAATTCAGGACTTGTAGTTGCCCAATGTTGACAGACCTCGTTACCGGTGATTTGCATAAATCCCTCAATAGATGAGAGTAGATCTTCTGGATTCCAGCGATAAGGGCTTAAGGATTATTCAATTTTGTTTCATTTTTATAGAATTCCAGGACCATGATGCATCTGGAAACCCTCCGGCAGGTTAGTTGGTGGCCACTTGAAACTTGTTTCTGGCTAAGCCGTCACCGTAACGCTCAAGATGTAGAAAGCATGTGTTTTAGCCGAAATGGCACCTAACAGGCACAGACACAGCATGACAAGCCAGATACCATTGTAGTGAAAATGATATGGCATACTCTGAACAAACACAGTACGTTAGCCCCGAAAGTGTACATTATCGTGCATGCCTGAGTCTTGACGGCTAAAAACTGAGATTGTTTTTTTTTAATTCACACAAAGATAGCAAGGTACAGGACAAAGTGATAGCGCACTCAAGTGACATGACTTATTTTGACGCTACCACTTAATAAATGAAATACAAAGAAACAAGGAATAACAAAATTTGGTACGATATGATAATGTAAAGATACGTTGAAAGGTTAATGAGCGCAGTCCGATTAACATTGAACTCAAATACTCCAATTCAAAGAAAACTGAAGTAGTGCGAAGTATTATGTATATATTTGGACACTGAAATAGCTAGCAACAGCGACAAGCGAATAAAAGGGACAATATTTTCAAAAAATGCTCCAATTAGTTTGGAACAAGTACTTTTAGCACATGCAACTGACCACTCTGTTATTTTTGAATTAGACTAATAACGTGAAATATCTGAAACATGTGTCAGACATGTAGACAACGGTGCAGGAGAAAGTATGTCAGAGGAAAGAAGAAAATAACAAGCGTAGCTTATCATTGGATGATATCTAAAGAATTTATGGTGGTTTTAGCAAAGGTTCATATTTCAGAGGGAGCCTCCAGTCGTGAGGATTCAGCTGTAAAAGGTGGCCGCCATTCAAAGGGTACGTTACCTTTCACGTTCAATTCTTTTACTGTCTGATAAAAGTCAAAGATAAGTTAGTTAAAAAGATTTAAGCATTAATACAAATGACTTCAAGTAATGTAACAGGGTTCTGCATTTATATTCAGACCTCAATACAGTCTTTGCTTTTGCTTTCCGACAGGCCTCAGATTACCGGTAATCTTGTTGATCAGCGACGAGTATGGGACTTCCAAGGGAGGAATTTCCACCATCAACTGCGAGGCGAGCCAGATAGTGAAGGGCAAGGCAGTCATGTACGCCACAGCCCTGCATGTGACCAAACAAGACCAGGATGCAGCGGACAGAGATGGCGTCACGCTGATAGGGCCAGTACAACTAGACAAGAATTCGGTGCCAACTCTGGACTGGCTGACCTACTACCACGATAAACACTACCCAAACCTTCCTCAAGACGTCACCTGCATTATCGGCCATGCTGATATAACAGATACGGCGGCAAGAAACATCAAGGATCAACGCTATCCACAGGCAAACCTCATTATGTTCACCCACGTTATACCCGAGGATACAGAGTACTACAAGGGAGGCCGGAAGGCCGTGGAAGCACGAGAGAAAGAGGAGGACATGCTTGATAAAGTACACAACGCAAAGGCAGCTTTCTCGGTAGGCAAGCGGATCTACGACCACTGCAGCACCAAGTACAAGGGAAAGAAGAAACCACAGAATCACCATATCTTCCTCCCGAAGCCATCCAAGATATTTCTGGACGCCGATGTGAGTCCCGGAGGAGGGGAAAAAGTTGTCCTGTCCGTCGGCAGGGTGAGGAAGGTGGAGAAGCTGAAAGGTCATGACCTCGTGGGAGAGTCCATGAGAGATGTGGTGAAGATAATCAAGAACACCCGTTGGTGTGTCCGCGGCATCAGTGAGGACGCAAGTCAGAAGATCCTGGAAGACGCCCTGAACAGTCCCGACCTGAATCCCACCCTGCTGCCGTACGGGACCCAGGAGGACATCAGGGACGACATGATGACGGCCCACCTGGTCCTGATGCCATCCCGCTCCGAGCCGTTTGGGCTGGTCGGCCTGGAGGCCATCGCCGCAGGCATCCCCGTCCTCATCTCCGACAAGACCGGCCTGGCAGACATGATCCTCGACCTGATCAAGGAGAAAAAACTCAGCGCAGAGCACAGGAACATCATCGTGGAGACCAGCGTGAATGACCGCGATCGTGCCGGAGACGCAAAGAGGTGGGCAGACCGAATCGTGGACATCCTCGAGCACAGCGACTCGGAGTTCGCGAAAGCTGCCAGGTTCAAGCGGGAGCTTGTGGAGTCCAGGTACTGGGAGGAATCCCACAATGCCTTCCTGCAGGCTTGCGGCATCACGAATGCAGCAGCGGATCAGTAGAGGTCAAAGGGCAACAGTGGACGCAGCGGGCGCGGCAATCGGGGCGTTTACAAGTTCAAGGGCAACGACCTTGTGGCAAAGTCCACGACCATTGTGATAGAACATTGAGACGTTCTAGAACCAGACTTAAAGGCAAGATCACGAGTCGGCGGCGTACGCGCTGACGATTTCCAAGAAAGCAAGGAAATTATCCAAGCCAACATTGCAAAGGATCAGGATACATTCTAATTCACCCATCTAAAGTATGACACACAGGAAGAGCCGAGCTAAGACTTGAGGGCCAGGTGTGCGGTACTCCCTCCACGTCACCTGTGCGCACTGCATCAAGGCAGGACTGGACAACCCGTACCAGCACGTACTGAGGGACCGGACTGCAGAGGACGGCCGTGACGTCAGGTGTCCCAGGGTAAAGAAGACAGCATTGACGTTTGTACATAAGACAGCATCAGCAGACCTTGTGTACAGACTGGCCAGATTGCCTGGTATGTTTATATGTCATTATCAGTAGATAATCTTTCATATTGATCTTGTTACTCACTATTAAGTTATCATATAACAATATTTAAGCTTTAAGCCTTGTAGATACTTCACAATTCAATTGAATGTTTCGTTTTATCATATACCACGTATTAATGGCTTTACCTCATATAACTGACTTTATCCGTTTTTTCAATATTTGCAGTTGTCGGGCGTCATCCTTGACCCGGAGGAGACCCTCTCAACAAGAAAATGTAAGTAGCAACAGCAAGCGTGTACATAGCGAAAGTCAAACACTTGTGAAACATGTCTTGTAGATATAGTTCTTAAACCCTATCTGAGCACAATCATGAATACATAAACTAATTCGCAGGTCTGCCCTGTGGACTCCCGAAATCAGGACCAAGGACATCGAAAAGGGTATCGTTCAGGCATAGAACTAGATAGGCACGGTTCTGGATACAATAGGGGCACGTGAATCTGACACTTTCATTCTATTCCCAGGTAAACGCCAAAGTAGCAGACTTCAAAACTCAAAACCAGGAGTACAAGCAGCAACCGGAAGTGGTGCACACCCTACGCAAGAGGCTCTACTTCTTCCCTCGGGCTGCAGTTGACCAGAATCCTTAGCTTCAACTGTTTCAGTGTAACAAAGACTTTTTTTTTTAATCTACAACAGTTGCTCCAAATCAACACGTATTGAGTATTCACACGGTTTCCAGGCAAACGTAATCCAGTTAATAAGTAGAACCGGACATTTTCACAGTGTAACCAAGGACCTTGTTGAAGGTCCTTGCTGTAACAAAAGCCTACATTGTTCAATCTATAACAGATGCTCTAAATCAAAAAATATTATATCTTCACAGGATTTCCGTGCAAATATGATCCCGTAAGCTACAAGAATGTTGACAGGACATTTTCCAATTGAAATATCCATGTATTAGGCATGTCTGTTCTGGTAGTTTTTAAACTGGTCAACCATAGTTACGTCAGAGGAGATGGACACCTCGCTACTGTGTAGCAGTAAATGCTCCCTATGGGAGCAGCTAGTTGTAACATGTGTTGCTACATATTTCTAGCATGTTGCCAAGTTTTTGTAGCATGTAGCTACTTTTTTGCTCAGCATTTGACAGTTAAGGGCTATGCATGGGGTTCTAAAAGACACCTTAAATTTCAAGTCGACGAGGAAAGATGAACAAAATAAATCAGCAAATTATCAAAAGGTGTTGAATCTGTGTTGTAGGTGAGAAGCGTTCCAGAAAGTTGTTTTTTGATAAATAAATTTGTACAAACTTCCTTTGAGTGACGTCTGCTTACTTTTGACTCCCTCTTTACTGTTTAAAAGACTCATTAAAATCTGCCCAAGAAAAAGATACTTACTCATCCTTGATTTTTTTGTCTGGTAGAGTCACTTGCTTTCTTGCTAGCCAGGAAACAGACATCTTCCGATAATGAATGTCCTGTAGATAAAAGAAACTGCAAAAAGTAAGGAAGGTTTCAGTAAAAAAGGCTGATAATAATGATGAGTAATAAAAGTTTTAAAAGTTGCAAAGTCATACTTACATGTTTTGCTGGAAGACACTAGTTGTCACTCCAAAAAAGTTGCATTCATCCTCAAAATCGACAAGAAAACGTCTCCAAAAGTCGCGAAAAAGTCATTCCTCTATCTTATAACTAATCGCGAGTAACTCACACTACAGAAATCAGACACTGTCGCTTTATTTCAGTCACAAGCGCAGCTTACAGATTGTGTTACTAAGCAGTATCGAACAAAAAAATTCTTGTTTCTGGCAAGGACCCCAGATCCTTGCCCATCATGGGGTACAAAAACGCACAAATGGTTTGGCCCTAATGATAGATGGTATTAAAACACGCTGAAAAGGATCCTTCTTTTTAAGTATGAGGAGAGAAAGCACATGTTAGTAACGCATGCAGTCCTTAACTACATGGCTCACCTCTGGCATCTCGGTAGTGGGTTGACATAAAAAAACAGGTGTCCTCTTGATGACCGTTGACTAGGCTAAAAATTTAGGGTGTACCTTGTGATTACGTTTATATACATTTTGAACAAGACATCTAATTTGTGCTTGACTTTCATCTACCCTAACCCCCCATAAATTTGGAAACTAGACCTGCTCTCTGAATCATCACACACTTAGACTACTAACTACGTCCCTGGTCTAATTTAGTTTTTAACTCAATTGCTGGTCTAAAGTCAGAGTGCATGTGAACTTCAGAGAGCAGGTCAAAGGCAAGTGGAACTTCTGCCTTAAAATTTACCAAACTCAAGCACTTGAATGCCTTTGATTAGAATAACTTTGATTATGCCAAAGTAAAGGAATATCAGTAGTTGTGACATTTATTTGAAATCTTGATTCAAACACAAACCTTTATTCAAACACTTGTTCAGAATCTTTATTAAAATTCTTTATTCTATGTGCACAGAAGTGTCTTTGGTGGTCGGAGTACGTCTCTTGTGGTGGGCGTCTTTAGGAATGGCTGCTGTCCTCAGGATCATTACTAAACCTGCCTTTTCTCTTACAAGGCAGTGGGGAAAATCATAGAATTCCATCTTTGTACTAAGATGGATGAAATAGTGACTTGTCCATCTTTTCACATAGAAGATGGACAAAAAATGATCTGAATATTCCATCATTTCCTTACATGATGGTGATAAAGTCCTAATACTGTCCTTTCAATTACTTGGATGGATGAGATCATTGCAGATCTGTGTTCAGTGTTCCATCTTCTCCTTACAAAATGGTCGAGTAACAGGTATAACACTGTTCCATTGTTTCAAGTTTCCATCCTTTAAGATACATGCCACTCACAGTCTTATCCTTAAAGACTGGTTGAAAGCTCTAGGTGAAAGAACTAACTTGAAATATGTAACTTGCAACACTGATAAACTTTCATGATAGTGTGTGACTTTCTTGTTCTTCCATTCTTGGCCTCCTTGTGATGGACTACTAGTATATATCATGCTAGAAATTCTATCCCTTAGCCCCTGTTATTTTATTCAAAGCTGTTCTTTAATTGACATCTTGGTCACAAGGCACTTTATGTCCAAAACGTTCCCTACATTATCCCCAGTTTAGTGAGCCAAAACCAAAGTAGAGCTTGGCTCAAATCCCCCCACCCTTTCTGTATCACCATCAAGGATATCATACCGTGAAATCCTATCTGAGTTCAAGCTGTCATCTCGATGCTTGCTTCCCTTCGAGTAGCCTGGAAACAGTGACCTCAGTTGACAAGATGATCTGTAGAAGAGAGGGGGCGGGGCAAAAGAAGGGAGGGAAATAAAGAGTTAGTTAATGCACTTAGCAAAAATAGCAAAGTTTGACCCTGCAAAAACAAATCTTTTGACAAAAGTTTTATTCATTGAGCAAAACAAAGCCAAGTCATCCTGCATCAAACTTTAGACTAGTTTACATTTTATGGAAGCAAACTTGTAAATAGTTCAAGAATAGTTATAAAATAAAAGTTATAAAAAATATAGTAAATAGTAAATAGTTATAGAATCAAACCTTTTTATTCCTTCCTTCATTTATTCATTCATCGTATACCAGTTACTGTTGAATGTACAATGTATGGCACTTATTTGAACAATATATCTAAAACATATATGCTACTCTCTTTCTCTTTCTCTTGCTCTCTATCTCCCAACCTCTCAATATCTCATCCATGTTCTGTCTGTAAAAAGAAAACATGTTCGCACCAAAAACATAACACAGTTTTCGCCTTATGGGGATTTATATGGTTAAGGGCTGCAAGGTGACCCACTTCGACGCGAAAAAAATATAGTAGGGTGCACTTCAGAAGTACGAAAACAAATATGTTTTAGATGAAGGTATAACCTACAAAATATCTAAAAACAAAAAAATCATGTCGGCGTGTTTGTCTTCAGACGCCCTCTTTGAAATCGCCCTCTACCGAGGTCAATTAGACTGCAGCTGAATCACCCGGAAAGGCCAGTTGCGTAATCTGGCGTATTTATACACGCACGGGGAAAACTACAAAATCCAAATCATACGGTCTGACAGCCGACATGGTTCTATAGCTGCTACCCAGTCTTTAAGAAGTTTGTACGCACTCTTTTCTATACCCGCATGAAAGACCCGGTACTGTGTTCTGTAACCTAAATACAGTATTACTTAAAGCTTGATTGACGTTCTTTACACCTAAGTGGTTGGCACACCAGAGTTTAGACGAAAAGGTCTTTAACTAAAGGACTGAATTCAGACTCCGAGCCATGCTCTGTCAACACATGAGAAGGATGTAAAATAGACTCTCCGTGCTCTGTCGACTGGCTGTTAACACATGAGAAGGATGTATGCTCTGTCAGGTCTGTGGGCGTCTGTCAACACACGAGACGTCAGGAGACATGGTTGAGCGCTTCCTTGTTGTGATGTCGTTATGACAATGACCTGACCTTTCCACAGGTATGTGAGACGGTGTAACATAACAGCTTAGTGCAGCAGGTGGGGGGCTTCAGTAGCAGGGTGTAGTCCCAGGGTCCGGCCACGGTTTTCCTCGGTAAAGCACAGGAGAAGGACGACTTTTATCATGTAGCTTTCGTAGGGTAATTCTGTATCTGTATAGCCGGTATAACCGCCTTTGGGTCTTCTTGTAGAGGAAAGAGCCAACCGGCAAAATCCTGTGTAAGAACGTGAAAACTTGAGCAAGGTCGTCGCTAAACTCGGGGCCGCGGTTGGGCCGTAGAACGGCGGGGCCTGGGGCTCTTTCTCGGTCGCCAGTTCGTAGCCCGGCCCCGCCTAGTCTTTCCGAACGGTCCTCGGCAGAGAAAACTGACGCTCTAAAAGGAAAGTTTTCGGAAGGAATTGACGCGCTCAGGTCAACGGAAGAATGAGCCGACAAGAGTCAAAGGGAGAAACTTCTAGATTTGAGCAAGGTCGTCGCCAACTTTTCTACCTGCTGACATAAACGTGAGTTCAAACATTTTCCCTCAGGGGTTTCCTTAACAAATAACACCATTGTGTGGGTGCTTTAGGTCCTAAAATATTTCAATCATGCATATGATTTATATGTTGGCGTGTCTTTTTATGACTTGCATTCAGTCACTACTTCTAGCATGGAACAGGACGACATTTACTTAACATTATCCTAGCGGTGAAATACCCCGTTACTGGGCCCCGGTATACACAAGCGCAACGAGACCCTTAGTTACACCTGCAGTGTTTTGTTTACGGACACCAACTTTCTCCATTTCCGACACATTCCGCATTAAAATGTGTTTACCAGCTAGGTTATGACATAACTAAAATGCAACACGGTGTCCTGAATAGAAGTGATTATATGTTTAGTACCTTCGCCAAGAAGGTCATATTTCCGTTGCACACGGACGGCAACGGGAGGTTGAATTACATGAGAAGCTTGTCACCAAAAGCTTGTCAGACACGCCATTCTCTGTGAACTGAGAAGGGAGTAAAATAGACCTGCCATGCTCTGTGGGCGTCAGGCAACACAGGAGACGTCAAAGGTGTCGCGGATAAACGCTCCGGGACAAGGACAAAGAGGTTGTGGTGGCCAGATGGTTAGGTGGTCGCTTAGACGCGTTCGACTATAATGAATGAAGACATTCATACAAAATAGGGAATGCTAAATATTTTCCGCTCTACTCCACAGCTCACCTGTTGCCGTGAGGATGGGGGTTGACCTGTCCACCTACAGGGCCCGGATAGGCTGCTTCAGGAACCCGGCGTTTGGCCCCCTGTGCTGCTGGCAGTCATGTTTGCTGGTGTGGATGGCCATCTCACAACTCATGCTGAAGCTTGCAGGGGACGTGGAGGAGAATCCTGGGCCCAGGCAACAGTGAGCATCTGATATCATACTTTGTCATGTTAGACTACTTTTCAACATGTTGTTTATGTAAGTGTGTGGTTTAGCAACGTAAATGAAGAAGCTATGGATGAGTTGTCATGCAATAAAATTTTGTAGGTAGGCAGATCTTGATGAGATATCAAAATGATTAAATTTTGTTATGATACGGAACATCAGGTATGGATATCTAGATCTAGACATGCTGGAGTCACGAGTTTTGCTGGTTGTTAGCTCGTGTGCTGGTGGAGAATTCTGAGCCCCTTAGCAGCTTTTTCTGGAACTGCAGGGGCATTTGTTTAAAAATCTTTTACAGATCTTTTTTGGTGATTTTTTGGTTGTAGGTAAAGCGATGCTTGACATAATTTGATACCAATCATGCAAAGCAGGATCTACTTTACATTATTAAAGGGGAGATTCTAAAGATTTGCTGTATTCCGTGTTAGGAATAGTCGAACTTATGACATATGTAATTTAGAACAAACGGAACATCTTTTTATGTACATTAAATGAGAAAATGGCATGCAATGATTTCACAGTGGTAACTGCTACATTTCGAAGTTAAGTGACGTTAAACATTATTAAACATAACTTATTCAAATCTAGAACTCAGTTGCAAATGCTTTTGTAAGATAACACTGTCGTTGGGTGGGTAATATGACCAACTGATGTAATTCATGCAAATGGAGATCTTATTTGAAAATAAATGAGAAACATTCAACATTCGTTAGTCCTAAATGAATGGTAACATCACTTGGCCGGGACGGGATTGTAGAACTCTTCATAATAAGCTAAGTATGTTAATCATCACTACCTACATTACCAACCAATGCATTATAACAACCCAAGAAGCCATTATGAAGTAAAGCCTTCCTTCTAAGACATTTGATTGTCCCTGCATCTCCAAAGATGCTGCTAGAGTCCGTAACCTATGCCACTTCCTTACAAGGCCAAGAGCTATCTGCCATCAAAAACGTATACTTAACATGTGGACATGCGACATATTTAGAAATTATGCTACTGTACCAAGCAAGGAAATCACCAAGTAGTCCATAATCAAACTTTTCTTCTTTTAACTGACATCTACCAAGACATAACAAATATCATAAACATCCATGCATGGCTTTACGCTGACGACAAACTGTAATGTCTTGCTGCATTAGACATGGGAGTTTTAGACGGGTTAAATAAGGCTAATCATAAAACAGCATGATTGTAATAATCATTAAATTATTATGTTATTGTGTATTTTTATACTGTTCTCACAAATTCTAGAAATGCTACCAGGGCTGCAATATCGACCATTGAAGACAGGCTTATCCGAAAAGAATGGAATATAATGGGGAAAAGAACTCTATTGACACTGGACTTGTCTCGTGAATACCATAGTTCTCCAACAAGTCTGACTGAACTACCCAAGGAAGTTTTTGAGCTGAAGGAATTGGAGGCCTTAGATTTGAGAAACAACAAGAACATCAATATTTCCCATCAGTTGATCAAACTTCCCAATCTAAAAGTGCTCTGTTTAGATGCAGGATTCTTTGACACAGTTCCCGCTGCCGTGATTAAACTTCCGCAGTTAGAAATGTTGATCCTCAGTAACAACGAGAACATCACCCTGCCGGATGAGATGTCGGGTCTCACCAACCTCACTGTCCTGGTCTTAGACAGCTGTAACCTGGACACACTACCGCCTGTAGTGCTGAAACTAACAAACCTTCAGGTGCTGGATCTAAGTGAAAATATGCAGCTCTCCCTACCAGATGAGTTGAACGGACTGATCAACTTGAAAGTGTTGAGACTACGTGACTGTAACCTGGACACCGTTCCCCTGGCAGTACTGAAACTCCCCCAGCTGGAGGAACTGGACCTCTTCCAGAACAGCGGGATCCACCTGCCGGATGGGCTGGCCGGACTCACCAACATGCGGGTACTGGAACTAGGGCTAACAGGCATGGAGACAGTTCCCCCGGCAGTCCTGAAACTCCCCCAGCTGGAGGAACTGGACCTCAGCTTGAACATCGGGATCCACCTGCCGGATGGGCTGGCCGGACTCACCAACATCCGGGTACTGAAACTACAGATGACAGACATGACGATAGTTCCTCCGGTAGTATGCAGACTTATACAGTTAGAACGTCTGCACCTGCTCGGTAACCAACTACAGACGTTACCCGCGGAAATCGGACAGCTCACTAACGTCAAACACATGGATCTGTCCTGGTGCAAGCTGCGCACACTCCCACCTGAAGTGTGGGGACTGACACAGTTAGAATGGCTGGACCTGAGAAGTAACCAACTACAGACGTTACCCGCGGAAATCGGACAGCTCACTACCCTATGTCATATGGACGTTAGTGACAACCCACTAATAAAGCCACCAACTGAAGTTTGCCGTCAGGGGATCGCTGCTGTCAGACAGTACTTTGATGAACTTGCACGCTCGGAAGAAAGAATAAGCGCTCATATGAAAGTTGTCTTCTTGGGAGAGACAATGGCAGGAAAAACAAGCCTGGTACGAACGCTATGCAGTGGCAAGTCCACCCTGACAGAAGAAGAGGACCGCACACACTGTGTAGAGATAACTAAGTGGGAAACTAATGACAACATCACGTTTGAAGTGTACGACTTTGGCGGCCATGACGTGTACCATCTCACTCATCAGTTCTTCCTGACTCCGGATGCGTTTTACCTGTTATTAGTGAACCTACAGACATACAGATGCAGTGAAGAGAGGTACACGGAAGCGGTGGGGTTCTGGTTGGACACACTGAATGCCCGCGTACCGGGGGCGGTGGTTTCCATAGTAGGGAGCAAGAAGGACCTTTGTCGACCGGAAGAAGTAGAAACAAAGACCAAGGACGTTCAAGCAAGGATCAAACTGCAAAGCGAGATGTGGGAAAAAGAACAAAGACAAATACGAACAATAGACATAGGCCAGCACCAAATACGTGGAAAAATTCTTTTAAAGCCAGGACTGCGTATTATCGGTGATACGCTTGATCTTTGTGTGTCCGTCAAACCCAAGTCTCGATTCCTCGAGCTCCTATCATGGCAACGTCGTTCTTGGGTAAAATTTAATGACTTTTTGTTAGAAACAGCAAATAATGATGATTTGTTTCCGACATTGAAAAGAATCCTACCAAGGACGTGGGTAGAGTTCGAGCAACTGGCCATAGTTCAACGCCAATCGTTCAACGAAGCATCCGAACAGACCAATGAAACGTACTTTACTGTTAAACTGTCTCCAAAGGAGGAAATCCAACAGCCCACACAGCACTGGCTGACAATGACTGACTGTAAAAGGATGGGGCAACTTGCTGGACTCTCACCAGAAAGACTGGAGCCAGTCCTGTCTTACCTGCAGCAGGTGGGAACCATCCTCAGGTACACGGACATACCGGAACTCAAGGACTTCGTCTTCCATGATCCTCCCGCCTTGATCGAGCTTTTCAAAGACCTGTTTCATCACAACATAAGCGACCTTTTCTCAACACACAGACTGTCTCATTTCACGTCTGCCCAGCTCAGTACATTCCAGTCAGATCTTTGCGACTGTGGACTGATCCGGAAAGAAGTGATGACGTGTTTGTTGCCGCCTAACGTCAATCCTGACATCATCACAGCATTGATGCAGCATTTCGGCCTGTGCTTTGAGGTACAAGCTAAGGACAATGCAGATCCATCCAAACATACCCACCAGTACAAAATCCCTTGGTATTTGCATAAACAAATGCCGGAAGAGCTGACGAGTGTCTGGCCAAAAGACGTGCCAAAAGAACAGGAGCAGCTGCAGCTGATGTGCAACATCACAGGATTCTGTCCCCGGGGGCTGTTTCAGAGGTTCAGTGTTCGGATCCATACACTTGTTAAAGACAGGATAGACTGGAAAGATGGAGTCATGGCCTACAGACAGGACTACCCCGTTCTCGTGTGTTCCAAACCTGTTGCAGACGACACGTACATCACCATAGCAACCAGAGGCAGGTTGGATCAGGCAGATGAGATGTGGGGCGTGGTCCACCCACTGCTGGAGGTGCTGGTCCAGCTGCTGCAGGAGTGGCCAGGTGTGCTGTACTCCCTCCACGTCACCTGTGCGCACTGCATCAAGGCAGGACTGGACAGGCCGTACCAGCACGAACTGAGGGACCGGACTGCAGAGGATGGCCGTGACGTCAGGTGTCCCAGGGTCAAGAAGACAGCATCAACGTCAGCAGACCTTGTGTACAGGCCAGCCAGATTATCTGGTACGTATCAACGCCTTTTTCACCTACTTGATTAATTAGATTTCTGCAACGATTTCAAAATTAGTATGAAGCTTACATTTTAAGCTTTATCGTGATATTTCAGGGGAATTAAACATGCCACAATGACATCAAGTGTTACTTTAGAAAACTTTCCAATAAGAGGGGTTGTAAGGAAGCTTTCGCCAGAGCAAACAGAATGTAGTCTCTGACGAGTCTTGCATGTACCTCTGAGGTTTTTACATAGTAGGCATTTTGAGTTATGATTCGTTGTTTAATTTTTACCTTGTGTAATGTTCTGGATGATATTATTGGCAGATTTGCATGAATCCCTTAATAGATGAGTGTAGACATTCTGGCAATAAAAGCTTACAAGGACATGATTCACTTTGTTTCATTTTACAGTACGTTACTTCAAACTGGAAATATCCCAGGACCACGATACGCCTGGAAACCCTCCAAATAAGTTGAAGGATGTAAAGGATGAAGTTGTTGGGACATCGAGAGGTTAGTTGGTGGCCATTTGGTTCTGCCTTTGAAAACATGTGTTTCAACCAAAATAGGACGCACGTTATATTAAGAACACAAAGTCATAATGTATATATCTAGTGATGGTTACTACTTTTGCAGATAACAACGGTTCCAAATATTTCACAAAAGATTACCATTACAATGTATCTGTATCTGTATCTGTATAGCCGGTATAAACCCCCTTTCAGCGTAACACACCAGCTTAAACAATGATTGAACAATTAGAAGAAGGCAATCATTGGATAGAAGAGAATAAAACATAGTAATAGCCTGCGTCGTCGAAAGATGAAATGGGAGCGGCGGCGATAATAATGATGGTACTTTATTAATATCATTCTCAATTTTTATTGATCATACATACAAACAAAATACAGGACCTAGTGTTGGCGCACTCAGGTTGGGAACTTATTTTGACACCACCACTGAATGAATACATACAATAAAGAAAATGTGTACAAAATTTAATTAAGGGTATTCAAAAGCGCAAGTCCGGTTTCCCACCCAGCAATTGAATGATGACAAAGAAAGGACACTATTTTTTTATTTATTCATCAACAACATCAACACATAACAAGGGCAGTGTGGCGCTGCACTCAAGTTTAAAACTTATATTAACAGAGCCACGCAACAAAAAACATTCAACATTTAAATACACGAAGTTGACATGCCAGTGCGCCGTAATCCCACCACCCCAAGACAAAGTTAAAGTTTGAAAAAGATTTTCATTGAGCTGGAGTGGTTATTAAGGATTACATGTTAACCTCCTATATCTCATTGGTGAAATGGTAGTATTTGGACTTCTATATCTGATTGACTGTTAAAGACAGTCAAACAGAGATAGAAGCGCTTGGTATCTCCAGTGTAAGTCTGAGTGTGTTGCATCGTTTTAAAGTTGTACATAGAGGGTAACAATGAGGAGCATCTAAGAATAAGGTGCGGTTTAGCATTATCTGACATACTATTAAGGTGAACAAGATGACCGAGTAAATCTACAAGATTGCCAAAAAGTTCCGATCTCTGATGATTGTACAATGAACAATGTAGCATGAAGTGCAAAACAGATTCGCAACGACACCCGTATCCACAAGAGGCACTGGTAGAGAGTCCTCGGGTAAACAAACTGTGATTAAGAGCACAGGTGCCTATGCGGAGCCGAACAAGAAGGGCACTGTTACAAATATATCAAAAGAAAAAAACGAGCTTTAAGACGTTCTGCTGAAGTAATAAAGTTCTGCATTGATGAGCACGATTTAACAACAAAAGTAGATATTATTTCTAACTCTTTTCCAGGTAAACCACCAGAAAGCAAAACTGTGGTGCTGCTACTCATTGACGAATTCGGAACTTCAAAAGTTTCATTATGGCATTTCAGCAGAATCAAACATGGCACGGCACAATGACATATCAAAAATGCTAATTTAGCAAACACGTTCCAACATCAGGGATTTTAAGGAGACTTTCATCTGAACTACCAGAATTAATAGAGGCTTTCAATTGGGAGATGAGCATACGTATCTGATGAGTGTTACATTAACTCAAAGGCTGTTCTCATTATTTCAAGCTTTTTCCAGGGAAACCATCACTCAGGACAGAAGGAAAAACTGTTAGTGTACACCATAAAATTATTTTACTGCAACAATATACAATATCTTAGCTAAATCAGACAGTATAACTTGTAATGTTATTCAAGTTTCAGATGAACTTGACGTATTGAAGTGGCTACTAACAGAAGTGAAAGCAAGTCACGACGCGTATGAGGACAACCGCAACAGACTAGCGTCTCACGTGTCTAAGTTGGGACTAACATTCCGGGCTGAGGTACCAGGAGATGGAAACTGTATGTTTCACGCCATGTCAGACCAAGTTCTCCGCACCGAGGGGAAGCACAAAGGCCATCTACAACTTCGTGAAGAGGCAGTCAGGCATTTGAGAAGGAATCCACACAATGTATGTCATATATACATGTACATATATATATATATATATATATATATATATATATATATATATATATATATATATATATATATATATATATATATATATATATATATATATATAGTATAGAGTGTAAAATAATGTTACAACTCTAAATCACACATGTAAAGGTTGCTGTTACACCGACAGAAGACGGTGCTCTTGTCTGTGATGCTTAATGTACGCTTTTCTCTGTCCAAACTAGGCTCATGGCGACCATTTTCGCAATTTCATTTCTAACCAAAGCTGGGAGGTGTACCTGGAGAACATGTCACGTGACGGGACGTGGGGAGACCATGTCATCCTTCAGGCCATGGCGGACATGTTGGTTCGTGACGTCATCATCGTCTCAAGTGTAGAGGCGGACAACTACGTCACAACCCTACGACCCCAGACAGGATCTCCGCCTAGAGCCGCGCGTCCTCTATTGCTGGGTCACTATGCTGAGAACCACTATGCTAGTCTTGACGGTAAGTACCTGATGTTGTGTAGGAACAGAATTCTCTTCCATTTGTTCGTAAGAGCTGGGTATACTACCTTAAAGCTATCAAACTATTGCCACATTAGGCAACATGAGTGAGTGTGGCAGCTAGAACAAGGACAGGAAGAACCAATTGCAATATATTTATTGCAAGTATCTTTGCGGAAGGAACCCATTATCACAACTAGTTGCAGGAGCCAAATATGTATAGATAAATACTAAGATGTGCGTCTAGAATTCTATTTTGATTGCCCTATGACTAAGAAAACTTAGAGGTACTTTTTCCTGCTCTTTTAAACTCAGAGACACAATCAGGAGGCAAACCTGTGGTGTTGCTGGTCAATGACGAATTCGGAACGTCGAAGGGTGGAATCTCCACTGTTAACGGCCAGCTGAGAGACCTGCTGACTTCTGCCGGAGCGAAGGTCCTCATCACCGTGTTAAACGCTACGGAGGAGGAACAGCAAGAAGCACTGAAACACGGCACAGACTTGGTCCTACCCATTTCTCTAAAAGGTGACAAAGGACCACCCGAGTTAATCTGGCTCACTGAGGACCACGAATTCCGTTACCCTAACCTTCCACCGGATATAAGCGTCATCGTTGGCCATGCTGACGTCACCAGCACAGCTGCGAGAAACATCAGGAAAGGTCGTTTTCCATCTGCCAAGTTCATCCTCTTCAATCATGTCATGCCAGAAGACACTGAGCACTACAAGAGCCTGGAGAGGACCATGAGCATTGGAGACAAAATGAAAGCTATTCGGGAAGACACGGAAGAGGCTGACGTTGTGTTCTCCGTCGGGCAAACAATGCATGATTACTACCAGAACCAGATCAGGCTCTCACGGCCACACCATCTGTTCCTGCCGAAGCCATCCGACATCTTCAGTCAAATGGACGTGACGTATGTCAAAACAAAAACCAAAGTGGTTCTGTGTGTCGGCAGGGTCAAGGGCGTTGAGAAGTTGAAGGGCTACGACCTTGTGGCGAAGGCGATGGCCATTGTGATAGAACGTTGTGGTGCCCTAGAGGAAAGACTAGATGTAAGATTGAGAGTCCGCGGCATCAGCGCTGAGGATTTCCCAGAGAGCAAACGAATCATCCAAGCCAACATTGAGAAGGGTACGTTCCACTTCACTCCTCTAAAGTACGACACGCAAGAAGAGCTGAGCAAAGACTTCCAAGAAGCTCACCTGGTCCTGATGCCGTCACGCGCAGAGCCATTCGGACTGGTCGGTCTCGAGGCCATCGCTGCGGGCGTCCCGGTTCTAGTTTCCGGCAAATCGGGACTAGCAGAGTTCCTGCAAAGCAGAGGGGCCGAATTCAGCCGCCTGATAGTAGACATTGACGGCAGCGACGACGTAGTTGCCAAAGAACTAGCGGAACGCATCATCAATATACTTAAAGGTGGACAGGAGGAGTTCCAGGCCGCAAAACGGTTGAAAGACAAACTGTTGGCGTCAGAATACTGGAATGACGCGCACAGGAAGTTCCTGGAAGAATGTGGCATTCCGCAGTGACAATGTCATTGACACTAGTACTGTAACGTTTCTTTCCTAATGATAGTCCGATTAGCTTTAACTGGCACAGCTTTGACAATGTAACAATCTACATTTCTCAATGCATAACTATTGTCTAAATCAACACATATTAAGTCTTCATAGGATTTCCTGCCAAATCGTGTAAAGTACAACAATATTTTGATCACATTTCCCAAACTGAAATATCTTTGCCTCAGGCATGTCTGTTCTGGGAGTTTAACCTGGTCGGCCGTAGTTATGTCAGAGGGGGTGGACACAGCGCTCTGTAGCATTAAATGCTCCCTATGGGAGCAGCTTGTTGATTCTGTAGCATGTTGCTTCATTTTTATAGCATGTTGCTACATTTTTGTCGCATAATTCTACATTTTTGCGCACCATTTAGAGGCGGTGAATGCAAAGACGCATGACATTCAAAGTAGACGAGCAAAAGATTATTTTCAGGTTCAAAGATGTAAATAATCAATAACTTTCGAAAGATTTTATGTTGACGTTGCAGGCAATATAGTATTCCAGAGAAAAGTTTTGTTGTTTGATAAATCTGTGTAAACCTTTTTTTTTGTTTACACAGATCTTTTGTTTGAACAGAAATTTCTGCTAATCAAATATTTGGTTGGATAACCTATTGTACAGTTGATTCATACTGATTTGATTGTTAATGTGATTTTCAGTTCAGTTATGTTAGTCTTCTGTTAAGTCTGTTATATTACTTTATTATATTCCGTTGTTATATTTTGTATGTTCTGGACTCCAGGAAGAATAGTCTAAATACACTAATGGAGATCTGAATAAACTAAACCAAACCTCATTGAGTGACGTTTACTAACTCCTGACAACTTCTTTATTGTTTGAAATACATGCAATAATTGCTGCGGCCGCAAGTAAGGTCTATGGCGCTGCTGAGTGATTGCATACACATCGCCTCGACATAACACCAACATTGCCGTGGTTGGGAAAGTCCAGTTAGACAAACTCTGTAAAGGTAGACCAAAGACCATGGTCTCCCCAAAGAAAGAGATATTTTTCAGTCATTTTATGACTACCAGTATTGACCAGACAATAGAAAAACCATGTGAATTCATCTCCAGTTGCTTTAAAAATGGAGAAGTCTTCAAGACATAGGTTAGACAGAATGTACTTCCTATCCTTGTATCATATTTACTTAATGTTACCCAGTATGATATACATGTAACACCATACTCTTATGTATGATTTTAGCCCATGGGCACGAGCATAAAAAACGATTCATTCATTATCAGTTTGCGTGGGGTTGTTGGGTTGGGGTACAAGATATATAAAACAGTCATCAGATACATGTATCATAGACGGCATTGTACGAGTATCTGTTAAACCATGATAGCTTTTCAAAGAACTCCAACAGCAAAGGGACCCAGAGTCCATTACAAGAAACCCGGTGTTTAAGGAAGGGGGTAAAACTGCCCTGGGTAACAAATACAAACAGTGGTAAAATGTACAAAAGTGATCCCTTCAGATGTGTCAATGAAGGTTTGATATCCAGGTAATGAGGTACGTACACAATAAAATAGTTACTCAAGCAACTGGACATATTTTGAAAACTATCAGACGTTTCAAGTAGTGACTGTTGCTCTTCGGGGGCCATTGAAAAGTAATCGAACCGAAGCGTCACTGATTTCTGGAACTTTCCACCGTAGCCAGAACTTATCAGATGCACGTACTGAGGTTGACTTCTGTATGACGTCAGACATGCCCTGTCGGACGTTGACCGGGCAGGTAACTTTGCATGAACCTCCTGCCTTATTTGGTCATGATGGAGACTTCACCTGCTAGGTCAGAGGAGTTCAGTTAAATTTTCAGCGGACAAAAACTTTGAGTAACCATAAAGGGGGGGGGGGGGCAACAGTTCAAATGTTTTTTAGGGGCGAGCAAGACGATAGCGTTTATTGACCGACCTTTGGATCGACTGTTGATCAGTGGAATATGTACGCGTAAATAATAAAATTGATGCAAATTTTGTTATTTTACTTAGAAGTACACAAGCTTTTAAAAGTAGTAAAAAGGCATGGAAATAGATTAATACCCATGCATCCGAAAATCTTTTCAAGTTGAAGGTCTCCAACATCGGGCTTCAACTCCGCCCAGACTGCCGACAGTCTTGTGATGTTTGCGGTTTGAAGTCCACAAGTTATTTTTGCCGCTCGGTGCAAACAAGTCGGCCCACCTGGAGGTTTTATCGGCATTTTGATTGACAGGTTTTTATAACGACAGTTTTCCTCACCATGGTAACGGCGCCGTGTTATATAGCCGGGTCCTGCCGCTGTGCGCAGTTCGGCGGGCTCCGGCCCGGGCCGGCGGACGGAACAGGACGGGCGGTACGCGCTTTCTCCTGGACTTATCCTGGTCTGATCTGGGGTAAAACTGCACTTAGAAAATTCTGTTGGAGACACTTCAGCCCTGCAGCCCTACTTAGAGCGGGAACGCGCTTTTTCGTGGACTTATTTTTGGTGATATCTGAGGTAAAACCCAAGCAGGTTGGCACACGCATAGGATTTCCATATTGGAGGACTGTTTTCTGTGTCGAAACGGCAAAGAAAAAGGACTATCTGCCACCCGAACATTGCTTCTTTGGATGGACATTTACTACCTTGAGGAGACTCCGTGCAAAGAGACTGTAGACTTTGTCAACATTTGACAACGCAAGTTCTCACCTCCTTCTGACTGCATCAAAGTGAAGGTAAGATACTTGTTGTATCTAGAACTATCTTCATGCAGGGTTCTGGATAGTCAATGCGTATCCTGAACCATGCCTGCGGCAAATCTACGTTCTTGGATGCGTGGGAACTATATCCCTATCCTAGCCCTAGTCTATTCAGGCATAGAACTAGGTACCCCTCCATGATGTCTTTTTACGGATAAAAACGTCCCCTGCTTACATTTCCAGTATAATATTTTGTACTTAGCAGCAATGTGTCATGAAATTCCATGTCTAAGGATGCTTAGGGTGGCAATCAAATTTCTAGACCAATGCAGGGATCACTTTGTCAACGTTAAGTCGCTGTTTGGTCAATTTGGCATCTAAACCTTACTTTTAATGATACATCATGTTTGTCTCTGTAGTCCTCTTAGTCCCACTGAAAAGCAGTACGTTCAGTGCTGAAGCTTGGGGGACTGAATTTGGAAAAACAACATTATTTGTATGCGTCACCATTCTTCCTATCCTCGGTTAGTCAGGCTCTTTTGTCAGTTCCCAGGGACCCTCTTATGTGCAAAGCCTGTCGTTTCATGTGCAGTAACTTGTACGAAGGACCAAACCTTCACATTCCACAGCCTCCACATAAATTCTAATAAGTTTCCGCACAGTGGCTATGTTGAGGTCTGGGGATACTTATAATGATAAATGGTTCATTGGCCAAACATCACCCGTGCAATTGTAGCCTTTTATAGCGCTGAATTGATGCAGGGTTTTCAATAATTCACATGTTGTATTTAACATATTTGCTCCACACACGTTTGTGCAACTGTCGCTATGGTCTTCGTTTAGAAGATCTCTAGAGAGAGTGTACGTTCGGTCCTTCGTACACTTCAAGTGGCTGTATCGATCCCTTTTTTTTCACGTGGCCCCAGCCGTATGTATTTGTTCAACACCATTCTCATGGCGTCAATCTGTCAGATAGTTGCCATGGGAGTACTTATCATTGCTAAAAGGTAATGGGCCATTACACTGCGCTGATTGGTCAGATCAGGTATGTGTCACTGTACATCTTAAGAGTCACTAGCTGTTAGTGTCACTAGCACTCCCTGTACCGTCTTTAACAAAAGAGAACATTTTACCACTGGGATCACATTAGCGCTAACTGGTTAAGCTACAAGATACTGACTATTGTAGTCATTTGCGGAGTGAGCTCTGAATATAAATCAGAGTAACCTCTTATCATAGAAGCTAACATTAATGATTTGTTTGGGCCTCCAAAAGAGTGACGCGTTATCGCCAGCGATTCATTTGAACAGATCAGTGTAAGCTTTAGAGGCGGTTTTGTCAACTTGATCTGCTCTCGTGATGTCTGAGGTTTGAAGTCCACCAGGTGTTTTTGCAGTTTGGTGCAAACAGGTCGATTCTGTTATCAGCTACTTAAGCTTGCGCCAACCCTAAACTGGCGCCGTGTTAGTTAATGTCATGATGCTGCTGATTCTTTTTGGTCAACTGTCAACATTTCAGAGGCCTTGGTCCCGAATTTTACATTTGAAACCATATACTGTTCTTGTAGCAATGTCGTAACAAATTAAACGATATCTAGTCTTGGTGTGCCATAATGACTGATCAGTCAGCCAAAATGTGCGTTTTTGAGTTGTTGGAGATGTAGTTATGCCTCTTGTCATAGATGCCGAGGAGGCCACAGGACTGTCGCGGTCACCCGTATTCAAAATTATGTACGGACATGACAAATCATGTTATCATTGACTGAACAATGTTGTGCAATTTTTGTGAACGCTATAAGTTATATTACCTCTCCAACACAGTAGCCCGATCCTTATCGGGCTACTGCGAAAGATTCAGTCGAGTTGACAACTTTCATTTAATGCCCTATCCTTATCTAATGTTACAATAGCTTGTTGTCCTTGTCCCCAGGGTTAGCCCTTTACAATAGTCTTGTATTATATTTGGGCAATCCTGACTGCCTTTTATACAGCTGAACCAAAAATAGAATACATGTAAGTAAATACACTACGACGACACTAGAAAGTTTTAAGAGATTATGTGGTAATTTCATGGTTTAAGCTAAAAGGCTGACTGTGAAAATTCTATACAGATTACTTTTAAATATGACGAGTCTTGTGATGTTTGAGGTTTCAAGTCCACGAGGTGTTTTGGGACTGTGTATAAACAAGTCTGCCCATCTGGAGGTTTTATCGGTTTTTCAGTGATATATCTGCAAACAGTACACTCCAGACAGAGGTTTGGGCTTTGGGTTATTTTTACACATTTCAGACGTTTTTATATGAGCTTTCATTTTTCAACAAGCAAAACTTTAGGTGGCGTATTGCATATTGCCTTCCGATTCTGTGTTGCTAATCTTATAGTGTCTTACCAATTTGATACGTTTTTGCCAATTTGATACTGTATTACCAGTATGATACTGTCTCGCGAATTCGATACTGCCCTGCCATTTTGATACTGTCTTGTAGCCTAGTTCAAGCCAATCCTTCAGTTGATGGTACTTATGCAACGTCTGTTTGTCTATCGGGAATTCCTCTGTTGTCAGTTAGAGTTGTTGTCATGGCAACCAGGGGTTACCTGTTGAATGGCGTTCAATGAATATAAGGCACCAAACTAACACGGTTGCGACAGCAGAGAATAAGGACTAGTGGTGTATTTGGCTGCTATATCTATCTGACGGATATGTACATCAGTCAAATAGAGCTAGAAATTATTAGTGCCTTCGATATGTGGTTGTGTTAACATTGTCATCATACAACAACTTGTTGTCTTTTTATTACAGACACTTCTAATCACCATGTCTACGCGATTGAGCCTTCGGGACGAGTTAGAATCTAAAGAGTGGGAAATAAGGGGCAAACGAGTAACTCTTTTGACACTAGACTTGACGCAGTTGCCCGTCGAGCTTTATGGTTTAAATGAGTTGGAAGCTCTGAATCTATACGGTAACGACTACACAGAGCTCCCCAATGAGATATCAAAACTAACGAATCTGAAAGTCTTGAGCATACTTAATTGTAACCGTAAGTCAGTTCCCGCTGCCGTGATGAAACTTCAGCAGTTAGAAATGCTGGTCATCAGAAACAACAGGAACATCATCCTGCCGGATGAGATGTCTGGCCTCAGCCACCTCACTGCCCTGGACTTAGATGGCTGCATGCTGCACACACTCCCGCCTGTAGTGCTGAAACTACCAAACCTACAGTACCTGGACCTAAGTGGTAATCAGGTCTCCCTACCAGATGAGTTGAACGGACTAAACAACTTGAAAGTGTTGAGACTACGTGACTGTAACCTGGACACCGTTCCCCCGGCAGTCCTAAATCTCCCCCAGCTGGAGGAACTGGACCTCTTCGGGAACAGCGGGATCCACCTGCCGGATGGGCTGGCCGGGCTCACCAACTGCATGCGAGTACTGAAACTAGAGGGAACAGACATGACGACAGTTCCCCCGGTAGTGTGTAAACTGACACAGTTAGAATGGCTGGACCTGAGCGGTAACCAACTACAGACGTTACCTGTGGAAATTGGACAGCTGACTAATGTCAAACACTTGTATCTGTCCAATTGCAAGCTGCACACACTCCCACCTGAAGTGTGGAGACTGACACAGTTAGAATGGCTGGACCTGAGCGGTAACCAACTACAGACGTTACCTGCGGAAATTGGACAGCTGACTAATGTCAAACACTTGAATCTGTCCAATTGCAAGCTGCACACACTCCCACCTGAAGTGTGGAGACTGACACAGTTAGAACGGCTGGACCTGAGCGGTAACCAACTACAGACGTTACCCGCGGAAGTGGGGAGACTGACACAGTTAGAATGGCTGGACCTGAGCTGTAACCAACTACAGACGTTACCCGCGGAAATCGGACAGCTCACTAATGTCAAACGCTTGGATCTGTTCGACTGCCAGCTGCGCACACTCCCACCTGAAGTGGGGAGACTGACTCAGTTAGAACGACTGTACCTGTACGGTAACCAACTAACAAAACCACCAGCTGAAGTTTGCGATCAGGGGATCGCTGCTATCAGACAGTACTTTGACGAACTTGAACGCTCAAAGGAAGCCGTATCCGCTCATTTGAAAGTTGTCGTCTTGGGAGAGACAATGGCAGGGAAAACAAGCCTGGTACGGACACTAAACAGTGGCAAGTCCACCCTGACAGAAGAAGAGGACCGCACTCACTGTGTAGAGATAACTCAGTTGGCACCTGATAACAACATCACGTTTAAAGTGTACGACTTTGGCGGCAATAAAGTGTACCATCTCACTCATCAGTTCTTTCTGACTCCGGATGCCTTTTACCTGTTATTAGTGAACATAGGGGAATACACCTGCAGTGAACAAAGTTACCAAAAGCATGTGGGGTTCTGGTTGGACACACTGAATGCCCGCGTGCCGGGGGCGGTGGTTTCTATAGTGTGGAGCAAGAAGGACCTTTGTCGAAAGCACCAGGAAAGACGAGACAAGACCACGCACATCCAGACAAAGATCAGTCAGCAAAAAGATATGTGGGAAAAACAAACACGAAAAGACGCAGGCCAACGCGATTTACGTGAGAAAGACCCTTCAAAGCAAACGCTGCGAATTGTCGGTGATGTGCTTGAACTTCGTGTGTCTGTTAAACCCAAGTCTAGATTCCTCGTATCAAAGTCACCTCGTTCTTTGAAAAAAATTAAACGCTTTTTGAGGGAAAAAGCCAATGATGATGAATTGTTTCCGAGATTGATAAGGACCCTGCCAAGGACGTGGGTAGAGTTCGAACAACTGATTAAACACCAAGCTTCCACTGAAACACCCGAACAGGCCGATGAAACGGGCGCTAGTGTTGAAACGTCTCCTCCGGAAGAAAGCCAGAAACCCAAACAGCACTGGCTGACAATGACTGACTGTAAAAGGATAGGGCAACTTGCTGGGCTCTCCGCAGAAAGCCTGGAGCCAGTCCTGTCTTACCTGCAGCAGGTGGGAACCATCCTCAGGTACACGGACATACCGGAACTCAAGGACTTGGTCTTCCATGATCCTCCCGCCTTGATTGAGCTTTTCAAAGACCTGTTTCATCACGATACAAGCGCACTCTTCTCAACACCCAGACTTTCTCACTTCACGTCTGCCCAGCTCAGTACATTCCAGTCGGATCTTTGCGACTGTGGACTGATTCAGAAGGAGGTGATGGCGTGTTTGTTACCACCCAAAGTCAATCCAGACATCATCACAGCATTGATGCAACATTTCGGCCTGTGTTTTGAGGTGCAAGCCAAGGACAATACAGACCCATCCAAACATACCCGCCAGTACAAAATCCCTTGGTATTTACATAAACAAATGCCAGAAGAGCTGATGAGCATCTGGCCCAAAAACGTGCCAGAGGAACAAGAACAGCTGCAGCTGATGTGCAACATCCGAGGATTCTGTCCCCGGGGACTGTTTCAGAGGTTCAGTGTTCGGATCCATCCACTTGTCAAGGACAGGGTAGACTGGAAAGATGGAGTCATGGCCTACAGACAGGACTACCCCGTACTCGTGTGTTCCAAACCTGTTGCAGACGACACGTACATCACCATAGCAACCAGAGGCAAGCTTGCCCAGGCAGATGAGATGTGGGGCGTGGTCCACCCACTGCTGGAGGTGCTGGTCCAGCTGCTGCAGGAGTGGCCAAGTGTGCGGTGCTCCCTCCACGTCACCTGTGCGCACTGCATCAAGGAAGGACGGGACAGGCCGTACCAGCACGTACTGAGGGACCGGACTACAGAGGACGACCGTGACGTCAGGTGTCCCGGGGTCAAGAAGACAGCATCAACTTCAGCAGACCTTGTGTACAGACCAGCTAGACTGTCCGGTATGTTTATATGTCATCATCAAGAGGGAACTATTTATATTGACCTTGTTCCTCCCTAAGGTATCTATTCCCACTGCGCACTCCTTGGATCATCCTTATGAGTTATGGGGATCGCGCCGAAGTCGCGCGGCGGAGCCTGACTAGTCCTAGTTTCTGTTGAGTGTAACGTAACTGGATGGGCGGGCGGGTGTGGTTTTAAAAATCTTCAGCTCCCAACGAGCCCGCCCTTGGCCACACCTTCACTAGCCGTCACCCGCTATATCCTCTCGCCAGTCTCCGTCGCGCTCCTCCGGTCGTGGGGAATGAATCCGCAGAAGTGGCAGAGGGCACTTCGTCTCTCATGTACTTATATGGTAATCACAGGTGTACTCATTAGTTTGATCCAATCAGCGCGCAGTGGGAAAAGTAATGATATTCAGGCATATAGAGACTCCGCAGATCATGTAAATGTTTCAGAACATGCTACGTTAGAATGGCTTTACAGACTGACATTTTCTGTCTTCCAATATTTACAGCTGTCGGGCGTGGATCATCCCTGACCCGAAGGAGACCGTCTCAACAAGAGCATGTAAGTAGCAACAGCAAATACATAGTAGGTATTTGCTGACGATAGTCAATTACCAAAGTGACTATGTTTCAAGTATCTTTCGGGGTCAACTAATATTGCCATATGTGATAATGTCTGTGACCTTTTAAACAGTATGCTCAGGACCAGTGGCAATGGCACTGTGTAAAACGTTGCTGCGTGACAATACACAGATAGTAGTTTTTGGGGGGAGGGCAGGGAGGCTAGACCATACAAAGGTTTTAAACACAAAGGTTACAAATACAAAGATTTTAAACCGTCTAAAGTTTTGATGTTGTACTTTATTCCAACACACATTTGCAAAGAGATCAAATTTTCAGCGACCACTGTTGCCTTCTTCAGGATAATTGACCAATCACTTCACAATGTGATCTCGCGAGAGTTACGGTTACAAACGCGACCTTATTCACACGAGACTTTACTGATACGTGACGTGAGCAGTTGATCACAAGTGCCAGAAAGTTTATGTATAACAGAGATGGTGGAGTCCACCATCTCTGTTAAGTAAAGGCTGAAGTGCTCGGATATATATATTTGGCCTCCTTCACGCCTCCTTAATGACACTCGCGAGATCACGTTGTGAAGTGATTGGTCATTAATCATCCTGATGAAGGCGACAGTAGTCGCTGAAAACTACTAACACAGATTAACTTTCGTGATAATCTATTAAGCTATATTTGTTTGACTAGGACTGCTACAAGATGACCTCCGACCCGCGCGGCGTCGCGCTGATCATCAGCAACACCATCTTTTTGGAACCGGAAAATAACAGGCAGGGAGGAGAGAAGGACCTGGACAGACTCGGGGAGATTTGTGACAAGCTCAAGCTGCATCAGGAAATCAAGGAGAACCTTACAGCACAGGTGGGGTGCATTTAGAATAGTAGCTATTGCCTTCTATACATGTATGCTTGAAAGTTATTATCCCAGATAATTGTTGATAATTTCTTGTACAGTACCTGGTAGAATTGATCGAAATTGAAGCTGTTCCAATATTTACCTTCGCCTAGAAGGTTATGTTTTCAGTAGCGTTTGTCCGTCCTTCTGTTTGTTTGTTTGTCTGTCTGTCTGTCTGTGTGTGAACAGCCTAACTCAAGAAGTTTTATATGCATTGTCATGAAACTTGGTAGGTAGGTAGCTCTTGATGAGACCTAGAAATGATTAGATTTTGGGTCCCTGGTGGCTTCTGTTGGTACTGCGCAGAACTTTAATTTCGGTTTTGCTATCTCTTGATCTGGACACGCTAGGGTCACGAATTTTGAGTGGTAGATAGCTCTTGGGCTAGGAAAGAAGTGACATGAGTTTGGCCCCCCTAGCGTCTTGTTCTGAAACTGCAGGAGCGTTAGTTGAACAATCTTCAAAGGAGGATAACTCAAGAACGGGTTGACGGATTGTCGTGATTTTTGATGTGTAGGTAGTTTAAGTAATGTTTGACATAATTAAATGACATGTCAGTAGATTTATGCTGTATTTAGTAACATTCCAAGCACTAACAGGTACAGTATTCTATTGCCGTAACTTTACAATCATCTTGCGTTGAACCCATAGGAAATTGAAGTGGTAACAAAGGACGTCTCCAAGAGAGATCACAGCAGCTACGACTGCTTCGTGCTGTTCCTGCTGTCCCATGGCACAGAGACAGGCGTGTTGGGCACAGACGGACAGCACGTGTCTGTGGACAGCATCATTTCTAGTTTCCAGGCCTGCAAGAGTCTCGTGGGGAAGCCGAAACTCTTCTTCATTCAGGCCTGCCGAGGAGGTAAGCGTTTACAGCAAATCCTGGCTAAAATACCCGAATAAATTATGGGCAGATAATCAAAATCGTCCAATTAAAGGCAGCAACGATTCTAAACTTCTTGGTCTGCTCGGGAAAAGATATAATTTTAACATAAAATTGCCATCGGATGAAACAGAGTAAACGCCGGAGTTTCGTGGTAATTGTACCTTTTCATCCTATTTATTTCTAGCTGACATGGACAAGGGGCTGGAACACTCGGACACGGCCACAAATGAAGCAAGCCGCACCTCCCAAACTGGGACAGAAGCATCCTATGGAAGTACTGAGGCCACTGCGTCACAGCCTCCTCCATCAGCCGCACCGGCCACACCTGCGGAGAGTCCTGATGCCGGAGAAACCTCACCTTCTGATAGCGACCGGCTAGTCATGTACGCCACAGTACATGGTAAGTACGAGACCCACGGACCCACATAATAATTTCGTATCCAGAACCGTACCTATCTAGTTCTATGCCTGAATCATGGGGTTGGGAGAAGATCAGGCACGGTTCTGGATAGTCTCCGAGTATCCAAGAACTTGGATTTGCTCCAGGCACAGTTGTGGACACGCGTGGACTGTTCAGAACCGTGCCTTAAGGCCACACTGACTTAATTTTATGGATGACATCCGCGCGCGCATTGATTTTCGCTTGTTCTTAAAAAAAAAGGTCCACCGAGGCTCTGGCTTGACTCTAGGCCTGAGCAGCCCATAGTGGTTAGCGACAATACGGAGCCAAGCACCCAGGCTACCGGAGCTCCACGACTCAAGAACTCATCAGAATATACGTACAGTGCCGATTCATAAATTCCGCAAAAAGCCAGCATGCGCCGGCTTGTCGTATACGTTGCTATGTACTGCCGCGAATTCACATTACCAGCCTTGTATACCTTTGGTTTAGTAGCATTTTTATTTTTGGCCGGAATTTTTTTTAGTCGCCCGCGCGCACTAGTTTGGGGGTCTTCAGAGGATGTCATCCATAAAATCAAGTCGGTGTGGCCTAATTTTGGATAAAGCACGGCTCACGGATACAACATTCCCTAATGGAGTGTGACGTGTTCTGACAGGTCGCGTGTCTTGGAGAGACATCAATACAGGCACGTGGTTGATCCAGGTCCTCGCTGACGTCATCAATGAACACGCCGACACGAAGGAGCTACACGACATGCTCTGGAGGGTGAGCCAACCTCGTGTTCCCTGACTAGCATATAGCACAACGGTTGTACTCTATGTATCTTCATTGGATGTCTGCTTTTGATATAGTTTTTCAGCCCTATCTAACATAATCATTTTTCGTGAAGCTAATAGTAACGCTCTCTTCCATGAACCAGGTAAACGCCGGAGTGGCAGACTTAACAGCTCAATACGAAACCCAAGAGTACAAGCAGCAACCGGAAGTGACGCACACCCTACGCAAGAGGCTCTACTTCTTTCCTCAAGCTGCAGTTGACCAGAATCCTTAGCTTCAACTTTTTCTCATCTATAACAGTTGCTCCAAATCAACACGTATTGAGTATTCACACGGTTTCCAGGCAAACGTCATCCAGTTAATTTGTAGAACAATGTTGTCCGGACATTTTCACAGTGTAACCAAGGACTTTGTTGAAGGTCCTTGCTGTAACAAAAGCCTACATTGTTCAACAAAGAATATATTTTCACAGGATTTCCGTGCAAATATGATCCCGTAAGCTACAAGAATATTGCCAGGACATTTTCCAATTGAAATATCCATGTATTAGGCATGTCTGTTCTGGTAGTTTAAACTGGTCAACCATAGTTCGTATGTCAGAGGGGCTGGACACATCGCTGTTGTGTTCATTGAAAGCTTCCTATGGGAGCAGCTTGTTGAAACATGTGTAGCAGGTTGCCACACTTGTTCCTACCTTTTTGTAGCTTGTAGCATGTTGCTACATTATTCTGGCATGTTACCACAGTTTGTAGCGTGTTGCTACATTTTTGCTCAGCAGTTAAGACAGTTGAGGCCTCTACATTGAGTCCACATTGGGTTCTAATTTAAGACACCTTAAATTTCAAGTCGACGAGAAATATGTAAAAAAAATCAGCCAGTTATCAAAAGGTGTTGAATCTGTGTTGTAGGTGAGAAGCCTTCCAGAAAGTTGTTTTTGGGTAAATAAATAATAAATTTGTACAAACCTCCTTTGAGTGACGTCTGCTAACTTTTGACTCCCTCTTTACTGTTTAAAAGACCCATTAAAATCTGTCCAGGAAAAGATACTTACTCATCATTGATTTTTTTTGTCTGGTAGAGTCACTTGTTAGCCAGGAAACAGACATCTTCAGATAATGAATGTCCTGTTGAGAAAAGAAACTGCAAAAGTTAGAAAGGTTTCAGTAAAAAGGCAATGAGGATAATAATGATGATGAGTAATGATTCAAGTAAAGCCATACTTACATGTTCATCTGGAAGACACAAGTTCTCACTCCACAAAAGTTGCGTTCGTCCTCCAAATCGACAAGAAGACGTCTCCAAAAGTCGCGAAAAAGTCCTTCCTCTATCTTATAACTAATCGCGAGTAACTCACACTATAGAAATCAGACACTGTCGCTTTATTTCAGTCACAAGCGCAGCTTACAGATTGTGTTACTAAGCAGTATCGAACAAAAAAATTCTTGTTTCTGGCAAGGACCCCAGATCCTTGCCCATCATGGGGTACAAAAACGCACAAATGGTTTGGCCCTAATGATAGATGGTATTAAAACACGCTGAAAAGGATCCTTTTTTTTAAGTATGAGGAGAGAAAGCACATGTTAGTAACGCATGCAGTCCTTAATTACATGGCTCACCTCTGGCATCTCGGTAGTGGCTTGACATAAAAAACAGGTGTCCTCTTGAAGATCGTTGACTAGGCTAAAAATTTAGGGTGTGCCTTGTGATTACGTTTATATACATTTTGAACAAGATGTCTAATTTGTGCTTGACTTTCATCTACCCACCCCCCATAAATTTGGAAACTAGACTTGCTTTCTGAATCATCACACACTTAGACTACTAGCTACGTCCCTGGTCTAAGTTAGTTTTTAACACACTTCCTGGTCTAAAGTCAGAGTACATGTGAACTTCAGAGAGCAGCTCAAAGGCATGTGGAACTTCTGCCTTAAAATTTACCAAGCTCAAGCACTTGAATGTTCTATCTAACTTTGATTCTGCCAAAGTAAAGGAATATCAGTAGTTGTGACATTTATTTGAAATCTTGATTCAAACACAAACCTTTATTCAAACACTTGTTCAGAATCTTTATTAAAATTCTTTATTCTATGCGCGCAGAAGTGTCCTTGGTGGTTGGAGTCTCTTGTGGTGGGCGTCTTCAAAAATGGCTGCTGTCCTCAGGATCATTACTAAACCCGCCTTTTCTCTTACAAGGCAGTAGGAAAATCATAGAATTCCATCTTTGTACTAAGATGGATGAAATAGTGTCTTGTCCATCTTTTCGCATACAAGATGGACAAAAAATGATCTGAATATTCCATCATTTCTCTTACATGATGGTGATAAAGTCCTAATACTGTCCTTTCATTACTTGGATGGATGAGATCATTTGTATATTCAGTGTTCCATCTTCTCCTTACAAGATGGTTGAGTAACAGGCATAACACTGTTCCATTGTTTCCATCCTTTAAGATATATGTCTCTCACAGTCTTATCCTTAAAGACTGGTTGAAAGCTCTAGGTGAAAGAACTGCTTTGTGATATTGAATCTAAGTTTTAACTTGAAATATGTAACTTCCAACACTGATGAACTTTCATGATAGTCTGTGACATTCTTGTTCTTCCATTCCTGGCCTCCTTGTGATGGACTACTAGTATATATCAAGCTAGAAATTCTATCCCTTAGCCCCTCTTATTTTATTCAAAGCTGTTCTTTGATAACAATAGGGTCACAAGGCACTTTATGTCCAAAACGTTCCCTACATTATCCCAAGTTTAGTGAGCCAAAACCAAAGTAGAGCTTGGCTCAAATCCCCCCACCCTTACTGTATCATCACCAAGGATATCATACCGTGAAATCCTATCTGAGTTCATGCTGTCATCTCGATGCTTGCTTCCCTTCGAGTAGCCTGGAAACAGTGACCTCAGTTGACAAGATGATCTGTAGAAGAGGGAGGAGAAAACAAAGGAGGGAAATAAAGAGTTAGTTAAATTGCACTTAGCAAAAATAGCAAAGTTTGACCCTGCAAAAACAAATCCTTTGACAAAAGTTTTATTCATTACGCAAAACAAAGCCGGGTCATCCTGCATCAAACTTTATGGAAGCAAACTTGTAAATAGTTTTGAATAGTTATAAAATAAAAGTTATAAAAAATATAGTAAATAGTAAATAGTTATAGAATCAAACCTTTTTATTCCTTCCTCCATTTATTCATTCATCGTATACCAGTTACTGTTGAATGTACCATGTATGGCACTTATTTGAACAATATATCTGAGACATATATGCTACTCTCTTTCTCTTTCTCTTGCTCTCTATCTCCCAACCTCTTTCTCTCTCTCTCTC